CATAAAGTAAAATTTATTGTGTAAAATATATGATTATAAAAATACAGTATTATCATAAATCAGAATATTATATTACGTTTTAGAAGTTGACCTTGTACTATTTGGAATGAATGCTGAATGCTGGTTATATAATCACATCACGTTTGTATTTAATATACGATTCTTCGCCGCATGTACACTTTCATTTTTCCAAATACCTACGAAACAAGTCATATACCCTACTGTAACATAAGCAGATACCTATTATATTATATACCTACATAATATTACACGCAGTATTTGATGATGTTTCCATTTTTTAATGAATTTATTTAAATTTAGCAAAAATGGAATTTATTGTACGAACAAATGTTCACGTTTTTAAATTGTAATTGTAATTCGTTATTGGTTAAGGTAAAGGTATTGTAATCTATTTATTGTAACTATCCTGATTTTTATTAATAGTTAATAATAAAAAAAAAATTATTTATAAACTTAAGGTATATTAAAAATTAGATAAAATCTTTTTCAAAATCATGAAAACCCAAAAATAAATGTAAATAATTAATTTAGTTTCATCAGTTTATCATATGTTGATTTTGATCCACCTCCATTGGAATTTTAAAAGAATACATATTCCTTTTCAGCACAAAATTAATGGTGATTTGTCATAAACAATAACTATTCGATAATTTATTACTTTATTTTAAGACGCATATTTTATCTTTGATGATGGTCAGGAGTATACGTATAGGCACAATAATAGATATGTTATACAGCAGCAAATTTTAACACTGTTTATCAATTTTTTCCCTCGATGGAACTTTTTTTAAATTCTAATAATTTTGCTTATTTTATGTAAGAGAGGTGGCATTTTATACCATAAGTGAAAGTGATGGAATTTTAGATTCTGAGTGGAGCGTAGAAGCTTACGGTTTTACAAAGATATTTATTTACTAAGTGCTTACTTATGCAAATGTAAATCGTGAGTTATTATAGGCTCTAATAAGAAAAATGATAAATAATATTAATAACTTCCTATATAATAATATAATACTCATATTGACTATATTAAAATGTAAATATACATAAATATAATACTGTTTGGGAATACATAGAATATTATAAAATATTGTATTATGATCTTTCTATGATAATTATATAAATTCAAAAAATATAAAAATATTTAACATTAAAACGATACAGTTTTGATTGATAATAGGTATTATTAGGTATCTACCATTATTTATAAATACTATATTATAATTAATATGATATTGAATATTCATAATCATTAAAATATAGATACTATTTATAGGAATAGGACTGAGGATCTTATATAAAAATAATTTTGTGTATGTAGGATAATTCAATTGTTTTTAAGTCCTAATGGTGTCTACATATTATACCTATAACAATTAATGTTTCTATTTTATGTTATAGGTAGCTCAGTAAATTTATAACACTGTACTCAAAAAATTTTTTAAATCATAATAACTGTTAGACACCGATTATTAGTTCAGATTACTATTAGATAGGCTAAGCAAGTATTAACACATTTTTTTAACTTGTTAAGTTAAATTTATATGGATAAAATAAAGTTAGATCCAGCTTTTTAAAAGTTGGTTTCTAAAAAAATTAATTAAGTTAGTATTAACTTGATAAAAATTAAATTTCATAATTACTAATACCTACATTTCTTACATTTTCTCGTTTTTCCTCAATTTTTTTTATTTTTGGTTTTTCACATTTGATGAGAAAATCGAAAAATGGCCTCCCTAAAGGTACCACGCCAAGAAAATTTCCTTTCAGAAAAGCGTCTATATCGTATATATCGGAGTAAGATTTTTGGTAGAAAAAGTGTTCACAAAAAAAAAAAAAAAAAAAAAAATTTTTTTAAAAACAATACATTCTTCGCTAGCCGCTATAGTCAGAATCAAAATATTAAAAGAAAAAAATCCTCTGCTCAGAATCTAAAATGTATAATGCTTATTGTTCGATACTTTTGACTTCAGAAATATACATTAATCCGTTTAATGAAATTGCCGAGGTAAATTTGAGTTTATATAATTTTTGGTATAATTGGATAAAAACGTATGAAATTTGTATAAAGTTATATCTTCAAATAAATTAACTTATGTTATTGATTGAAAAGAATTTAAGTTTTCAGTTATTTTTTTTAATCCGTATAATCTATTATAGAAAGTTGAAAAATAACAATGTCTATCAATTATACTGTATAATAAAAACCCAAACTTTAAAGGTCTCTTCTGTAACATTTAATCGTTTATCATCGTCAATTTCATCTAAATGTTGAATAGCAAATTTAAAATGAACTTCATGGTAATCTTTTGAAATTCCTCATTTATCCCACATATTATGACTTATTAATTTAAATTTAATCATCATACTCATTTCTTAAATTTTAAATATTATAATAAATGGTTTTAATATTTTTCCCATAAGAAATAAATTAAATTTTTGTCCAATTTTTATTTAGAGTATTTGTAGTAGATATTTCTTTCTTATATTTTTTAACTTGTTAAGGAAATATTACTTAATGATATAAAAATATCGATCAATTTTACTTTTAATGCATACACATACATGTGCCACGATTCCCAACCAGTAGGGCATAGCATACTCTTTTAGGACTCTGTTTAATTTTATTCACATCGCCTTCACCATAAGTCAAAATTGTGTCAAAATAAGTCAAAACTCATAGTTATAGATGAAACGTTGGGAAGGTAGTAGAAGGAAGTTTAATTTGTATCTGTAAGCAACGATAAACCATTGCTAACGAAAAAAATACTTTTGAGCGAAGTTCACGATTGATAGTGTTGCTTCGTCAACAATATGTTTGTTATATTATGGTAAAATAATTATGTATGCATTATCTATTTTCTTTAATAATATGTTTTTAATATTGTACCTATTCTATAGGTACCTATAACACCTCCCCAGTCCGATTCCCTTTCAGAAAAAGTGTTACACTTGTTTGTAAATCAGAGCAAGATTTCTGGTAGAAAAGTTGTTCACAGGAAAAAAAAAAGTCCGAAATAAACATTTTTGTAAAACCATAAGCTAAACTTCAAGATTAAAAAATTGTCATTTTTCTAATATTTTTTTTTCAAGTATAAAGAAAAATACCTACAAAGAAATTCAAACAAATTACTTTTGCAATCCAAGATTGTAATAAATACACAACTCCTCTGAACAGTAGCGTAGTCAGGATTTTTAAATGGGAAAGACTAAACGCTTTTTTGATTGAATCATGGGCAGGTAAGAGGAAAGGATTTGAGAGTTCATCTTTTAACCTTTTCCCCCTTCACCATTAATTATATAAAAGTATTTCCATCAATATGCATTTTAAAATAGTTTTATTAATATTAATTAAAATATAATTTATAAGAATAATAATAATAATTTTGAGTTCAGTCACATGCTCCACTCCGATAGTTATATCCTCTTAGGTGAATTTTGAGCAAATGCAGTTAAAATTTAATTTTCATTAATTAATTAACTTTTTTATTTAATTGTTTATTATTTATTTTATTGTTAATTTATTTTAAACTGCTCGTTTTTGTTAATATTAGCCATAGCCAACCCATTCAGTTTATTTTCAGACATGGTGCTTCTTAAATAAGTTTTTAAACGATTAAGTGCAGAAAACGTTCGTCCAGGAGTGAGAGATTACGGGTAACGTGGCAAATAATTGCAAAAGTATCCTAATGTTAGGTTAAAGATTGGTGTAATGAGAGAATGAATCGACGGCAGAATTCAATTTTGATTTTGTTGCCTCCATGTGAACTGTGAACAGCTTAGCTCCAAGTGTAGATATAGTATATTTTAGCAGCTTTTATAATATTTTCATCGTCATAACTCATTGATTCAATTTAATATTCAAGAAAAGGAATAACAGTAGAACAATTAAAATAGGTAGGTATATTTCTGAATTTTCAGAAATAAAGTTTACTCTTTAAATTTGTCTTACACATTCGGGTCATTTTTATTACAATATTAATACATTTTCTTAACATGAAATGTCATTAAATAGTTATAAAATATTATTATTAAAGATTATAATATGATGTGTGGGTGACAGTCGCCACAAAGTTCATGATAACTACCAAAAAGATAGTGATAATCACAGTCTTAAACTCTTAGAACTAATAGGTGCCTACCAAAGTTTTAAAATAGTTAAATACCAAATAGTAGTATAGTACATATACATAAACACGACCGATGGAGGGGGGGCTATAGCCTTCTTAACCCTCTTTTGACTACGCCACTGCTTCTAAAGACAATTTATTAAATTAAACTGAATCGTAAAAGTATAATTATGTACAAGCATATTATATATGTATTATAGAATAGTAATTAGTTGCAGTTAAGTTAATCTGTATTCAACATACATATTTTTAAGAGAACTGTTAAATTGTCTTCACCGGAAGTTTTCTTCTATTTACCAATCAAGTCAAATCCATATACGATATACCTAATTATTATCATCAAATACATTACTACACTTTACACTAATTAATGGTTATTTTTGCAACTTATAGATAGTAAAATTATCTATGATGCAACCCGATATTATTGTTCTTATATTTAGCAATATATATTATATGTCTATGTAAATTTTTAAGAACCGCGAACGTTGTTCGTTCATGGAATAATCGAAAATTACTTTGGAACCTGGTTACCTTAACCATGGTTTATTTACATTTTAACCTCTACACGTGAAAAAGGTGTGATTTCAGTAGCATTGTATCTCTGGATCCCCACTCTACTTCAAATTCGAGATTTAAATTTTTGCTACATAAACAGCGGTATTAATCTATAGTTTAAATTCTGAATAAATTACTAAGTATGTATTAAAAGATTTGATTATAAGCACTTATTAAAATAATTCAATAACTTTATTCTGATATAGTCTTAGTTGGGTCATGAACAATTTGTGAATACATTGTATTGCTGTTATTCTTTTAATAAAGAAAAAGTACAAGAAATATTGAAAGATGAGTTCAAAAATAATTATTAGTGATCATCGGTTGAGAACTAGTGGAGAAGAAAACTTACTTTTACAAGAAAATGTTGAAAAACATGGTAATACGTTATTATCTATAAATTCAACCATGAGTTCAAAAGGTTAGTATATTATTATTTTTAATGATTATTTTAAATTTTATTTATATCTATTCATAGGTAATATTGTGAAAAAAAATTTGATAAATAAGGTATTTAAAATACATATTTTTGGCTTAATATTATAACTACATTAGCTATATAGAAAAATTTTTATTTGGTTATTTTTAATTAAAATCCCAATTTCTTCACTTTGTTATCTAATTGATTTAAAAACAAGTAGGTACTTAAACATTTATTTTTATAAAATTAATGAATTGAAAAACTATTTATAAAAATTATAGGCACCTATTTCAATTATTATTTATTTGTATAAAACTCTTTTGTCTTTAGTTACCTAGTACGTAAATTAAAATATATTTTTTACCTTTTTCCTTTAGAGCATGGTACGTAATAATATAATACATAATAGATGTTTCAATTTTAATAAATATTTTTCACTTCATGTTCATTTACATACTTTAGGTATTACATAACTTTTAAAGTGGTTAATTACTTATAGTCAAAAACATTGTATAGGTAATAATTCTATTCTTTAATAAAAACAATTTATACATATTCGTGATTAATCTTTTACATTAGCGGTTCTTAACCTTTGTATATTGGTAACTAGAAATTTACCCAATTTTTCGTACAAATTTTTTTTTAAAATAATTTTCAACATAGGACTATTCACCCAAAATTGGATCGTGACTATGATTGAGAACTGCTGCTTTATATTTTATTATGTTTTTCAATGGGTGTGAATTCTGACAACAGCTTATAATCAATTAGTAGTTAGTACCTAAGTCATATTTGGCTATATTTACTTATTACTAAATTTATATGATAGAATGTTACTGTTTTAGATTTGTCATAGGGATACTTATATTTTTATTGAATTTTTACCCAAATAATGTAGGTATTCCTAATTTATAATAAGTATTTGTATTATTTAGTACAATATAATTGTATATTATACTTAAGTAAATTTAAGTTTTAACAGCTCTTTTGCATATTACCATTTATATCAACCCATCATACATTATTTAAAAATAGTGCAGTTATGTAGTAAATAATCAAAACTTATTCAAATAGTTAAACTTAATGTATGACGGTTACCATTTAAAATATTAAACAATTTCTAAGTATAAGATTAAATAAAAAAGGTAGACAAATTTGGCTAGTTGTATTAAATAAATATAATAATATAAATACTTTTTCCAAAAATTAATGTTTTTTTTAAAAAATTCATTTTTAGTTTTTTGGTTAGGCAAATACATTTTTCCACAGAGTTCTTTAAATATTTAATATTTCGGCTTGGTATTATTTATTTAAAATGCCTAGATTCAAAACAGTTTTTCTATATAATTAAAATAAACTAACAAAAAAAGTACAATATATCAGTTTTATTTTTGTTAATTTCTGTTGATCTCTAGGTTACCTTGGCAAGGGGAAATAAAAACAACTAATTTACTATTAGTACTCTGCTCAGAATAGTTTTTTCATTTGTAATGATTTATTTATGTATAAACTAAATTTCTCTGTATATCCTACCTGCCCAACTATGCACTTATATCAGTGGCCTACCCGTGAGCAGTATAACTTTTTATTCTTACATTTATTATGTTCAAATGTTGCTGCAACACACATGTTTGTACTAAAACAAATATTTCATTCAATTAACATATGATATATTGATAAATAAATATAATGTTATACAATATAATAAATGTAATTTATTATATATTGTGTACCAATTTATATAAATTGTGAAACTCATTTGTTTGAGTAAAAAGTTGTTTGATTTGAATTTATAATGTATAATAATGCATAATTTTTAGTTGTAAATTTTGCGCATTCCAATGCCTATACAATTACATATAATATATTTTAGCATTATTGGTTGCTAAATCAAATATTTTAAAAGGAGTATTACGAATACAAATATTTAAATATTTGAACAATTTTACTAATGCAGAATACAAATAAATCGTGCTTTATCAAGTAGGTACCAAACTATTTTAATTAAAGGTAATGAACAGAAATTTATATCATATTAATACTTGAAAAGCATAATTTTTATTTTAAAATACTGTAAAACATAATTTGTTTGTTAGTGTTTTTAAATTTAAAATTACTTTGGAATCATTAAAATAGGTAACTGGTCTTCAGGCTAATTAAAGCAAGAAATAATGCCTGAAAAAGTTTACTTTTTTAACTATCTGAAAATGATTTAACCTGAAGACTTACTTTTCCTTTTTTTAATAATAAGAAAAATGTACTGAAAATGAAAGGAAGTCTGGAATATTTCCACTACGCTGGTCTTAATAAATTCATTTTTTTTTCATTTGTAATTCAAGAGGAATAAGACATTATTTTTACCAAGTAATAATATTTTTTGGACATAGATGTATTTTACCTTTTTTTCAATTATTAGTGTATAACTTTTGAGGTTTTTTGTGATCATTAAACTCGAATAGGTATTTATTACAAGGTACATCATTAGTAATTGTTTTTACTAGTTAAGGAAATAAATGTACTGTTTTGTCACAATAATTGTTTTTATATGTGTTTGAATGATACAACATTGATAAAAATTGGGCAAAAATTAAAACTTTTTAATTTTAAAATTAGGAAAAATATATTTATAAGTGGTCACTGCTTTATTTAGATTTATTAAAAATAAAATATGTTATGCAATTCAGTAGAGATGAATAGACAGAGAATTCATAGCCAAAAATCAAAAACAATCCATTTTATATGTTAACCAATTTTTAATTATTATTACATACTGATGACATATTATATAATAATATATACAGTGATTCATTTAATGTAAAAACACATATTTATTTTGTAAAGTAATGACATTAAAAAATATAGTTTTTGAAAATTTTAAGAAACAAACAGCTCTAAACCTCTTACATTACCATTATTCTTTGTCTCCCTTATTTTTGGAACTGAAATGACTACCTACGTTTATTTTCAAATGACAACCTATATTATGAATTCCATAATAGTTGGAATATTACTTAGAATACACTTTGGTGTTAAAAAATTTTAATTCTGTCAACCTGGTTGGGAGATATTTTACTACATATTTTGTTTATGTAAGGGAGAGTTGTGAAAATTTTATATTTTTTACTGCCACACAATTTATGCTCTCCTTCTACTTACACTTAAAAGTGGATTATACCGTTAATGGGTTTGATGAAAATAAAAAAATGTCAACAACAAATTTAGTCTGAAAAATTAGACATACGTTTTTGGTAGGTGACATTAAGAAATTTATTAAAAATTGATTTTAATATTATAATATTTGTACTAGCTAGTATTAGCTATTTATAATACAAAATATATGTGTTTTGTCGTTCGTAAGTCATTTTGCTATCACTAGAAACAATTTTATCTATCATAGTTACATATACTAATGTACATTTTAATATAGCACGATAAAATTATATTAGAAATATGAAACCTAAATTATTATTAGTCTATCTGTATATGTAACTGCTTATATGTTTGGTTTTTAATCTATTAAAAAGAAAAGAGCTGATATTAACAGCTGAGATAACTATTTTAGGTGAGTAGTTAAGAAAGTGGAATATACAAAGTTATTTAATCTATACCAGTTACCAATGATAAGTTATTGCCAACAAAAAACAATTCAGAACAAAGTTTGGTTAGACGTGTTTTGAAAGGCCGTAATATTTACAATTTGGTCTTAAAATTCTTATAAAAAATATAAAGAAACTTCATAAAAAATAATTATCAATATAATAATCAATTTTTTTCTTTTTTTTTTTTTTTTTTTCACATACTAAGTAAGACTTTTCGTAAACCTCTTGTCAAATTTTCAAGCATTTCTGTTTAGTCTAACAATTTTATCTATAGAGTACCTGCCAAATAAAAACTACTTTTAAAATTCGCAAAATTAAAATATTAATAGTTAAAAATGGATTAAACGTTTTGAAAATTTGACCACATCTAGAAAAAGTAAATATAAGTTTTCTGTCATTATTTCAAGTCTCTATAAATATTTTTAACCGTATCACATAAAAAAAACTAAAATCAAAATAAAAAATTAATTATTTTTGTAAATTTTGCGATTCATTATAGTTATTTTTCGGCTTTGTCAATTATTTATCAACTCTTTACATTACATCTCTTTAACTATCTCTCTATAATATTTAGATATAGATATTGTTTTTATTAGAGGTAATAATTCTGGTAGAAAACGAAAAGTGTACAAATTTTAAATTAAGAAATATTATAGTATCTAATGCAATAAATTCGTCAGTTATCTTTTTTTGGATTTTATATAATTATTAATAAAACTACAAAGAAAATCAAAAAACAAATAACTTGCTCATAAACTAAATTAAAAATACAACAAAAAAAGTCTGTCGTTTATCTATTGAATCAATATTTATGGTTTAAAATATATGCTGGACAATTTTTAAATTATGAAATTGTGCCCTAATTTGATAAAAAATAGTATATTCGTCCCATTTGGTTTTTCTCAATTTTTATAAAAAATACATTAGGTATGATAAACGACTCTGTGGCTATGCTTTTAAAGGATCAAAATTAATTAATTAATTAAATTGGTTTTACTCAATTATTACAATGAAGTACTTTAGATATTGAAAAACTGCTTATTCCAGTGGCAAAATATTTAAAGGAAAAAATCGATGCTCTATAATTTTTGGATTGGAGTAATATATCTGGTAGAAAACATCAAATATACATAATAAAAACAATGAAAACTGTAACCCCGCGATGTGCCGTAAATATTTGCCGTTTTATCTATAATTTTCTTTCGGGTTTTCCTCAATTATTTCGAAAACCCCTTGGAAAATCAAAAAATGACTTCAACGCGTCAACTAAAGAAAATTATCTTTCATAAAAGGTGTTATAGTTTATACTTAGAAGTAAGTTTTTCGGTAGAAAAGTTGTTCATAGATATAAAAAAGACATCTTAGAATAATGGGGATGGGTGCAGCCATTATTATAGGTAATCTATTGTATACCTGTAAGCAACAATAAACCATTATTAACAAAAAGCGGAATTGAAAACTGAGCGGAATTCAGTTGATATTGATGGTTTGTCAACAATTTATATATCATATTATGGTAAAGTAATTAAATAAGCATAATATATTTTCTTTTGAAAACGATTTTCCCGTTTAACCTCAGTTTTTGTTCGGTTTTTCACATTTGTTGAATAAACTCTTGAGAAAACCGAAAAATGACTTCTTTAAAGTACCTTCCCAATTAGATTACTTTTTAGAGAAGGTGCTACATTAAATAATCGAAGCAAGATCTCTGGTAGAAAAGTTGTCCACAAGAAAAATAATAAAAGACGGACATACTTTACACGTCGATGCATCTACTGTTGTAGGTGGAAAGGTGGGAAGGTAGGATGCAGACCTGAATTTAATGTATATTTGTAAGTAACAATAAACTATTCCTAACGAAAAAACGATTCTGAGCGGAGTTCAATTGATAGTGTTGTCTTGTCAACAATACAATATATGGTACATGTCATGTTATGATAAAATAATTACAATGTGCGTTTCCATGACAATGATCGTTTAAAAAATATTAATTATAAAATAATAAAAACTTAATAATAACAAAAAATAAATAAAAAAGGTTGCTAATGACAACCTCATTTTTAATCTTTCTATATTTTTGTACCTAAAGACTGAGGTTTTCTTCATTATCTCGAATATTTATGAGAATTTAAAAAAATTACCTCTCGCTCCACTCAGAATCTGAAATAAATAAATATGTATAAAAAATACATATACATAATAAAATGTTAGCTTACTTAGGGTTTTCTGATTGAACTTATTCCTGTTTTTCCTGTTTTGAAAGGCCATAATATTTACAATTTAAAAATACATTTCGTACATTTTCTCGGTTTTTCGCATTTTTTATGAAAACCCTTGGAAAATTAAAATGTTAATTTTTTTAAAGTACTGCCCCAGTCAAATTTGGTTTCAAAAAAGGTACTACACTTGAAAATTAGAGCAAAATTTCTGGTAGAAAAGTTGTTAACATAAAAAGATATATACATCACTGTAAAACCAATATATTCGTTGCTTCATTCAGAATCTAAAAATCTACTGCTTGTAAAATATGGTAGTTTCTTTATAATTGTGTCATTTGACCTAAATCATTTATATTATATAATTTTTTTATAAAATTAACTATTAACCCAATGTAATTCCATTGAATTTTTGGTAATTTTAATTTTGTTGAATAATAGAAAAAAATTTTTTGGTGGTTCATTAAATCATATGTGTATGATTATTAATGTTATTATTTTAAATGCCCATGTTACATGTCCATTTTATTTTATATTTGTCTAAAGAGAAAAAAATTGGATTTGATATTATTTGTCTTATTAATATTCATGGTTGATATAAAATTGTCTTATTTGTAATTCCAGTCATCCTTTATATCAAGGTTAAAACAAACTCTTATGTTATTAAATTCTACTTTACTTTATTTCAGATTTCTTTCATTTACATTAATTTAACTTATATAAGTAGGTAATAGTTTTTTAATACCTACTTTACTTTTAATTAAGTTTTTTAATTGTATTTTGTGTAGAAAAAATCGACTTATAATTGACTTTAATTTTAATTTTCTGTACGCATATTTTTATAAATTTTATATTCTTCACATCAGTAGTTTTTTATATGATAGTTCAAGAACATAGATAATCTATTACAATATTTTAAAACAACTAATGGAATTGTTTAACGACAATCAATTAGTCATATTGCTTTGTACGGATCGGTTGTATGTTTTACTTTTTAGTCTGTAATGCTTGTGCAGATTTCTAATGGTATTATATTAATATAAAGGTAGGTATTCATTATAAATAAAAACTTTATCTTTTTTGTATTTATAGCATGTATACATTAGTAAGTTTAATTTATATATTCTATTATACATGTTAGATTTATACTACTGTCATTAAATTTACATTCAATATTTAACTCCATTTAAATGAATAGACCCATTTTAAAATTAAAATTTAATTAAATTTACTAAACCCACTTTTTTTTATATATACCTAAGTATTTTTGTTTTGCCAAACACCTCTATATTTAAATAATTTAATATCTTTCATATATTTTTAAAATTCATGAGAATAATATTGGATATCTACATAAAAATATTTTATTTTGTTTTTTCACTAAAGTCAAATTTTCCCATCCTTTTCCATTACAATATCTTTTTTTTTTATAATTGATTAGGGTCACAAGATTTGAAAATTCAAAATATGGAACTAAAAGAAGGAATAATGTCTGTTCTAAAAGTTACAACATTAACATTTTTTTTTTTTTTTTATGAAATTACTTTGAATTAGGCTATAGGATCATCATTTTGATGAGATCTGAGTTAATTTTAATATTGATTTTCTGAATTTTAGATTGCATATTTCTTCCTCCCTTCACCAACAATATATCCTTTTTTTAAAAGGTTTTTGTGAATTTTGATATACATTTTTAATATGTATTTAAATAGCATAGATTAATATTTTAAGTACTAAATAAATTTTAAACAACATGTTTAAACTTAATCGAATAAAAATCCAACAACTTTGTTTTAGTTTTTTTGTAAATACCTAGACCCAATAGGAACAAAATTATAAAATAAATATTATATTAAGATTTATCAATATAGTTATACCTTATATAATTTAACCTTTCAAAACTAATTTGTTGTGCATGTTCATTGTTTATGAATAGTGGTATATTATATTTGTTTGATCAATGGATCTCTTTTAATAGTGATTGATTTCTTATTAAAAAATAGATTCTCACCTCTGTAAAATATTTCCTCAATGTCTTCATTTTAAAATTTTGGTCCATTGAGTCAGTTTCTTTCAGCATTTGTTTTTGAACCTGTTACACACATTACAAACTATTTTAATATTTAAAAATTGAAATTGAAAATGATATGAAATGACAAAATGTTCTATTTTATTGTCTTAATCCAAATGGGATATAATTTAACGTATGAACAATTTTTTAGAAAATGGAACACTTTGGTGTACTAAAGATAGTTTTCTGGACAGCAGGCCACATAGTTTTAAAATGTGCATTGTTTCTTCATCGTACAAGTCGTTTCACAACCACATCTAAAATGGTTATGGTTGCCAGAGTTTTATTATATTTTGTATACATTTTTTACAATTTGTTTAGGTTTTTTAAATGTATTATATTTGGACCAAGTCTAACTATAACTCTAACTATGTTTGTTAACATACAAACAGACTGTATGAGTGAGAATTATAAGTAGAAATATTTCAAAGTCACATCTTCGATAAATACTGTTTGTTTCTATGTACTAATTTTAATCCTGTGACTTTGATGAATTTGTAGACAAAGTTGAGTAGGATTTCAAATCATTAGATATTTAAATCCATTTTTGAAGACTTTGGCTTGAACTTTAAAAATTTTTTTGAAAACCGTTTTGTATTTTATACAATGGTTTTAGATGGTTAGTGTTAGTTTGTAATCTATCAATTTTTCAAATTACTTTTCAAAAATTCCTCATTGAATATAGAGACACAATTTCAATTATATATTTCAAAAACTGCTCATGGTTCAGTGACAGGAACCAATAATTTGAAAGTAATTTATTACTACTTACTATAAAAAAAAAAAATAATAATAATAATAAATATAATTAATTATTAATTTTATTTTTTAATTATAACTTGTCATATTTTTTAATGCTACTTTTATACCGTCTATTATTTTTTTATAAATATCGTTGAATGCATTTTTAGGATTTTAAATTATTTTTATAAAGATCTGAAGTTTAAATTTTCGAGAATTTTGATTTTGGATTTTGAAAATCTATTTGAAGGATTTTGCGTTTCTGTCTATAAGGATACACCTTTAACGCTATATTTACTGTAAAAACATGCAGTTTGAGAATAAAATGATTGGGAAGGGGTTGAAAGTTGAAACTCTTAAAAGGTACATCCATTTAGTGTGATACACAGTTATATAAAGTTTAAACAATAACCATTTCTTAAATTTTGTTCATTTGATAGTTGTCATTTATACAGTATATACCTAGCAAATTATATTAGTTAGAAAAAGAATTGTATTATTTATATTATAATTGGTATTGTTAATTGTGAGATATTCCGCGTAAGCAGTAGTCCATCTATCTTTTAGATTCTGAACAGAGCAAGGAATGTATTGGTTGTACAATGGTGTTTATTTTTTTTTATTTGTGAACAATTTTTCTATGAGAAATTTTGCTTTATTTTTCAATTAGAGCACTTTTTCTGTAAGTAAATCTGACTGGGGTAGTATTTTAGGAAGGTAAATATTTGATTTTCCCAGTTGTTTTCAAAAAAATGGGAAAAAACGGGAAAATGGGTACAATGTTAACAAATATTTAATGCCGATGTAATTTTTTTAACATAATATCACACCAAAAATATTTCGTTATAACTTTAATGTATGCCCATACGTAAGGACCAGATTTTGCAATAATGCGTGTTTGTTCATATTATTATGAATACTATTATACTTAAATAAATAATATTGTAAATTTGTATTTTCCATATTTTGAGTATAAGTGCTTATCTTCCATAAAAACGCATGTTTTTGCATATTACGTATACAATTAAATGTTTTGATTTATTTTTTTAATTGTATTTATAATTATTATGTATGAATTTGTCACATTACACAAAAATTGAAAATATTTTTAAAAATAATATAATATTACGTTTCCATCAATTATAAGTTGGTAGGTAGGTATCTAATTCATTACATACTGGTTTTCCTATCGTATATTTTTATTTTATCTACTTTGTCTAACATTATCGTCAATACTACAGAACACGGATTAACAGTTTGACGACTGTAGTTCCAAGTGTACATTCGACGATAGTCAACGTATTATAAAAACGTGTTCATTTTATATAACATTGCTTGTGTTAGTTACTATACAATGCCAAAGTTTCAATGTCTTTTTTCATCATTACTATTTTGATTTTATAATTTTACAATAAATAAAAATAGCTGAATAATCAAAAATTATTTTGCCTATTTTGTGCTTTTTAAGTGCATATTTGAAACTTTAAAATTTCAAATGCATATATCCGGTCTTTACCTATAAGCAACGATAAACCATATTGCTTACGAAAAAAACCTAACGATTCTAAGCAAAGTTCAGTTGATAGTGATGCATTGTCAATAATATATATGCCATATTATATTAAAATAATCTAAAAGGCTTCATATATTTTCTTTAATATTGTACCGATTTTCCTACGTTTTTCAATGTTTTTTCCCAGTTTTTCACATTTACTGGGAAAAATCCTGAGAAAATTGAAAATTGACTTTTCTAAAGTACCTCCCCAGTAGGATTTCATTTTAGAAAAATTGTTATCATTAAAAGTTGGAACAAATGTGCTGGTAGAAAAGTTGTCCACAAAAAAAAAAAAAATCGTCATATACAAATATATTTCATATATTTCCCGTTTTTTTTTTTTCGGTTTTTCGCATTTGATGAGAAAGCTCTTGGGAAAATATGAAAAACGACCTCCTGTCTATTAGACATTCTACGTTTTCTCTATACAATTTGGCATCAATAATTATTGTTTCAAATGCTGTTAGATTATCTTCAGATACATGAGATATTGCTGCTAGTTTCCTCATTAATGACTACATTTCAATTATTTGTACACCTAATTTGCAGTTCATTTGAATGGATATGCCGTCAAATAGATTAGAAAAAATGGAAAAAACATCCTTTGATATCAATTGACGAAAAAATAATAATTTTGAGAGCGTTTATTGCAGCTTTTTTAAAATTAAGGGTAATAGATTTTGGATAAAGTTGTGGTTTTAAAAACTTCAATGCTGAAAATATACGTCTTAACGCGTCTTTATTTTTATTAGGAAGAAGTATCCAAATAGTTGGGACAACATTAGAATATTTAATTCCATGGATAGTAAAAAGTTGATGAAAAATAATTGTTGCGTAAGAAAATGTGCTATCACTTAATCATGGTTTACTTTATTGTTATAGCTATTTTATCAATCGTTAATTAAATTTCCAGTTATCAAATCTCGGAAGTAAAAGAAAAAATGAAGATTAAAAAAATAATGATTTTATCAATTATTTTTATTTTTAGATTAACTAATCTAAGGTAAACTAATTAAAGATTAATTCACTATAAAAATACATTAAGTGACGTTAGTTACGTCGGTAACATGAACATGCCACCTATTTCAATCAGTTGTTAGGTATTTGTTATCACAAAATATTTGGCACGCCACATTTATTCTATAATTCTCATTTTATATTTGTAGAATTTTTTATTTTTCCATATAAATAATAATTCAGAATTAAAACTTAAATAAATATATAATTTCTTTATTGTTCTATATTTTAAATTCTGAATGTAGCGATGAATGTATTGGTTTTACAAAAAAATTTTTTTTGATTTTTTTATCCTGTGTACAAAAATCTTGTTCCGATTTGTACATGTGGTATCATTTCTGAAAGGAAATATTGTCCAAATGGTACTTATGGGAGATCATTATTTTGATTTTCCAGGCGGTTTTCATAATATCTGGGAAAAACCAGAATAAATCGTTGAAAAAACGGAAAATGTATGAAATTCACATGTAAAATATTATGATATTTTTTTTTCTGTGGACAACTTTGAAATTTTGCTCCGATTTACAATAATAGCACTTTTTCTAAAAGTAAATTGACTGGGGAGGTACTTTAGAGGGTCATTTTTTCGATTTTTGAAAGAGTTTTCTCAACAAATGTAAAAAACTGAGGAAAAACAGGAAAATGTACGAAATCTAGGTATTAGTTGAAAAATATTTCGGCCTTCTTTTTTCCCGTGTAGAACGTTTCTACAAGCAATTTTGCTTTGATTTACAATGACAGTATTTATTCTGAAAGGAAATAGACTGGGAAGGTACTATAGGGAGGTCATTTTTTTGGTTTTCCCACCAAATGCGAAAAGCCGTGAAAAACTAGAAAATCAGTACAATATCAAACAAATATGATTAAAGAAAATATGTCATTCCTATTTAAATATTTTACCATAATATGACATATATTGTTGACAAAGCATCACTATCAATGTATCAACTGAACGGTTTATCGTTGCTTACAAATATACATTAAATTATCTATATTAGTGACTGTACCCGTCTCCATTATCCTAGGACGTCTTTTTTGTTATATTATTCACAATGAGTATCAAAACAAAACGAGAGTGTTCTACTAATTTTATTGTTTGCGAATTTAAACTTTAAGTTAACCTTGTCGACAAAAAACACTTAAAAATAAAACATAGGAAGAAAATTACATTTAATTATTTTATTATGTCTAAAATATTAAAATTTGACAACTAATAATTAATTTTGTATGTAATAATAATTAATAATATATTATTCGCTTTTATTAATCACTATTATTGTAATCTTATTTATTATTATTTTATAATTTAATAGTATTATCAAAGGTATAGTAAATAGTATTATCATATGATATTATTATCTACTAATACTATACACCTTGTGTAAATACTAAAAGCTTAGTGTGAGTGACAGTTACTAATGATTAGTACCAAGTATCGTGTAAACTCTGCCTTAAGTCAAGTTGATTTTATGTAATGTTATGAAAATATCAAATAGGTAGGTAATAAAACAACTTCATCAGGTTTTAAATTGAATTGGTTCCTACTTATATTCAGTTTATTAACAAAAGTAAAAAAAAAATCATTTGAAATTAATAAAATCAAAAAATGTTAAATTACATATTTACTGATAATATTGTACTTAATACGATACCTTTACAATTAAAGTTAGGTTAAAATGTTAACGGGGTGATAATAAAATCACATTTTTAGTTTAACTGGGGATTAACATTTATTGTAGTTTAAATTCTCTTAACTGGAGATTGATAAAATAGCCCTTAGCATCATTCTCGTAATCAATGTTATCACATATCAAGAAAAACTCATCTGTTGTCGTTTTTGGAGAAATATTTGGTATTTTAAGTTCTATAATCTATTGATTTTGGATATGGAGGATCATCTTCTCCATTCTTTGAAAAATTGTGATTGATTTTCTATGGACGTTGATTGAATGAAAGTTTGTTTAGAAGAAGATTTGTTTAAACATTATTTTTGATGCAAAAAAGACTTTGCATACTGATCAATTTGAAATTTTTTTCCAACTGTTATCGGTTTTTCACAATGCTGACAGAAAACCTCACCAGAATCTTTGTACGACTTAATTCACTTTCTAATTAACGCCGGTTTTGAATTTGGAGTTTTAGGCATTTTAACTATTTTAATCGATAAATTACAAATTAATTTGTTAGCGAAAAAACACGTAAATTCAATACATTAACTCGTGACCATGACGTAATTCATATTAACAATAAATTCTGTCGGTTTAAATGTAGTGGGGAATTTTATAAACCTAATCCTGTTGATAAAATTATATCTAAGGAATAATAATCTTGATAAAACAAGTAAATCCATTTTCTACTATATAAGTTTAGTTAACCTATTTTTAGCGTCCGAATATTTTTTGTAACTTAAAATATTTGATATATTAACGTACCTATAATCTTTTTGTTTTTGTTCGACACCTTATTAGACCTTGAGTTGTATCTTTGTTAAAAATATGCAGAATATGCATTGATGTCAAAATATGTAAAAATATGCATTATAAAATTTTGATATTCAATCAGTTAGGTTTTGATTCATAGACACTCATTGACTGCATGTATATGATGTTGATGCAACATGCATTTCATGCAAAATCCGGTCTTTAGTCATAAACATTCAAGTAAAGGTATTATTATAAAAATAATTCGACATGAAATTTCTGCAAATGAAACAAAATTAGCTCAATAGAATTTAAATGTCATGAATTTAAAAAAAGAAACACCAATCATTAAATGCACTTTGTACAGATTTTAAAGAAAGAAACCGGTCAATTGAACATTTTTTAAATACAATTTCATATTATACCTATTCAATTTTGATTTAAATCAATTAATTTTAAAAATTTATAAGTACTATTTTCATTTTGTCAAAATATTAACTTTTAGCGATTCTAAATAATTAAACCATTTTTTTTTTTTTAAATTAATATCATTATTTTTTTTTTTTTCTGTGCCTTTATTTCTTTGTCATTTTTTTCATTGTCTTTTTACTTGTTTCAAATATTATTATACTTATAGTTATTTCAAAGTATTGGCCTATTTAGAACAGGGTTACCAAGAAATGACCAAATGGGAGGGGGGCATAGGACTTTTATCATCAAATTTAAAAAATACACCAAGAAATTATATTTTTAATTTATTAATGAGTTTAATACGTTTGTATTTGGTTGGTACTTTGTGGATAATATTGTTTGACCAATCAGAAATGCTAGAAAATTTAACAAGAGGTTTATTTTAAGTTTTATTTAGTTGAAAAAAAAGTTTTTTTACCGTTTTACGAAAAAAATTTGAAAATCGTAAAAATTATGATATTTTAAAGCATATATCAGTTTTCATATTTTGAAATATCGCTCAGAATCGCATTTCGTTAGACATTTTTTAATGTTCTTTACAATTATAAATTAAATAACTTTGTGTATCCTACCTTCTCAACTTCCCACTTTTTTTTCAATTTCTACTATCATCAGATAGACATCATCATCGTATTATCTATTATTATAATTTAATTTTTGTGATTAAGAGGGCTTTCATCTCCTGGGGCTACCAAGTTCCAAGCTACGCTACTATTTTTAGTTTTTATGTTGGTTTAAGTTGTATTGTTGTATATCCATTCTTGTTGTACTTAGGACTTTATTGGAGAAATAAATAAATATATTGACTAAAGCTTAAAAATTGAAGCTTAAAAATGTCAAATTGTTATGAATAACTAAAATGCAGAATCATTTTATAAAATAAACCATATTTAGATGTCTATAATTATAATCAATGCTATAATATTATTCATAACGTTATTCTTAATTATTTCTGTCTAATATAGTAATTTAGAATCCAGGTAAGTTAAAGTTAATTACCGACTATATTTTAGTAAAACATAATTGGTAACTCGTAGAAGAATTTATATAATTGTTTAGCAATATTCTGTGATAAAAAAAATCCACAATTTTGGAGATATTAGCTTAAATTCGTTTTTTTTTTATAAATAATTTACCTGTTGTCTGATCTAATAACATAGAGTATGGCTATAGCCTCACCTTATTTTCATTTTGGTCATGTGGCTAATCCCCTTCATGAAAGACGTACATTGAATATAAATTTAATTTAATAATTTTATGGACGGTTACTGTAGATTACCACAGTATTCGTTATTAAATTCCAGAAAATGTAGATTCAAAAAATCGTCATGTACACACATGCGCATGTACATCTGTGTTTAATTTTAGTGTCCCACCTCACAATCATTTTGCTATGGCCGCTGTAGTGATGTATTTAGGGAGAAAGGGATCAGAGAGATATATCTCCCCCCCTTTAAATGTTTTTTAATAGTTATTATTCTTACGAATAGCTATTTTTCAAATTCAAATTTCTTTACTTTTTAGTCAGATAAATCAAAAGTGTATTAATATCAGTTAATAAATAAAAAAAAAAGCAGAACTATAGATTAATTTCCTTAATAAAAACGAAACTTATGTAAACCACTTGAGTCTTGAATACAAAAAAGGTTTTTCTCCTTATTCTTAGAATAGTATAACTGAACTAATAATAATTTCTATAATATTTCAATGTTATCATAGTAAAACCAATAGACCCACCCTTCGTTATGCTCCGAGTTTAATATTATTTATTTAAAATAAGAAAAACAAGTACCTACTTAATTTAATTATATTATGCAATACCTTGACCAAATTAATAAAATAAAACCTTGTCTTGACATTTTTTCTTTTAATTTATATTTATTAAAGTATATTTAAGTAAACGTTAGTGTATTACTTTGATTGATGATTAATTTGATGGATTTTTTTTAAATATATTTAGTTTGACATTTTTTCTTCTGACACTAAAAAATAACATTTTAAATGTATTAATTTATTATTTTTTTAATTATTTTCGTTTTGATAAATGTTAGTTCTTAAAAAATAGTGAGAAAACATTAAAAAACTACAAATGTCTCAAAAAAAAACAAAACTTATAAAGTAAAATTATGGATTTAGTTTGTTATAATATGAAACAAATTTTTTTCAAACTAGCCTTATTTTACGATAGTGCAAAAAAATATTTAAATGCTACAAGTCCTTTATCCTAGTTGTTATTATAATATTATTTTATTATAAAATAATAACACAACACATGACATATTATGTAACTTAAAATTTATAATTATATGTATGGGATGTATGTGTCATATTTATAATTTGTTGTGTAAATATAACAATATAGTCGGTACACATACACTGTGTAAAATGTAGGTATCAAGTATCTATACTAATAGTATACATACTAATTTTGATGTAATGTGCATGTTATTAAAACATTAGGTTTTTGTTGTTTAAATTGGTATATACTTAACCAATAATTATCAACAAATCCGTTTTATGTTTTTATTTATTCTGTTAATTTATGATACAAATAAATGGGTAAGTAGGTAATCATTTTACATGTAGTTTATTTGTCTTTTTCTTTCTATTTATTTGTATATAATTTAAGGTGGTCCTTAGTATAGAGGTCTAATTTTTTTCTGAAAATTAATGATAAGTACCCCAAATTTTAATCTATACATTAAAAAAATTATTATAAGTGTGATAAGTCAACCTCTTCCTGTGCTTCAAAGGGGTGGATTCATTTTTATTTTTTGCATGTACTGTATTTAGTGTCAATATTACGAAAAAAAACGTTTACTATAAGTATAATACTGTATATTTATTAATTACTAAATAAAGGTTTCTTATACATTTATCGGGAAATATTTGGTTTTCCAAAAATTAAAAAAAAAATCTATTAAAAGGTAATCAATTTTAATCAATTTTAAGAAATTCTATTGTTTTACTCTTAATTTTTTTTAAGTCTCTTAAATTTTAAAGTTACACAAATTTTATTATAGAGAATATTCTCTATAAAATGTTTTTTAAATTCTGACTGGAGCGAGGAATGTATTGGTTCCACAATGATGTTTACTTTTTTTATTTTTTTTTTTGTAGACAACTTTTGCAATTTTGTTTCGATTTAAAATGATAGCACTTTTTCTGAAAGGAAATCGGACCGTAGAGGTACTTTAAGAAGATCATTTTTTTTTATTTTCCCAGGAGTTTTAAATAGGAAAATACGGATAATAAATGGGAAATTAGGTACAATATTAAATATTACTTCATATTTTCCTTTTTTTTCATATTTAGCCTTTTAGCTATGTTTTAATTTCGGAGCGTAGCGAGGAATCTATTGATCTTACTATGATATGTGTGTGTTTTTTTTTCTGTCTATAAAGAACTTTTCGAAAAGAAAATTTACTCACATGAATAATGTGTAGCATTTTTTCTTAAAGCTAATTTTTATCTAGTTTGTGCATTAGACAGGTAATTTTTTTAATTTTCCGTCGTGGGTTTTTCGAAATAATTAGGAAAAACCGGAAACAAAATTATAGGTAATCGACAAATATTTATGGCATTCAATATATTTACAATATTTCATTGTTCTTAATTTTTGCAAACTGTTTTCTATCAGAAATATTGCTTTAATAGAAAAACAAAGGTTGATCATTTTTGTCACATTTATAATTCTGTTAGTAAGTAAAAAAGTTATTTTTCAATTTCCCTTATAGTTTTTTTATAATTAAGTAAAACCGAAAAAAAGTAGGATGAAGGGGAAAATTTACTGCCTTCATTATTTTTAATTTTGTTATTTTGTTGTAATTCTGTTATAAATTAATTATTCATAAAGACATTAAATTTCAATAGAACACTTTTATTTGGTTTTTATAGACTTGGTAATATTTTAAAAACATTTAAGCCATTTTTTTAAACTATTTTTCAGCAATTTATATACATTTTAATTTTGCAATTTTGTTTTAATTTGGTAGATACTCTTTAGATAAAATTAGATTTAACAGACATTATACATTTAAAATTGTCATTTTTGGCTTTTCTCAGTTATTATGAAAACTACTTTGGAAATCAAAATACAACTTTCTTTATCAGTGTCTATATACTAAAAAGAACAAAATCTTTAATTTGTCAGTTTTCAATTTGAGCAAATTTCTTACTGCTAAGTACAGCCTATGTTTATGCCATTTATGTTTAGTCTAACAATTTTGTCTACTGAGTACCTACCAAATAAAAATCACTTTTAAAACTTGAAAAATTAAAATATTTATAAATAGAAGCAAAAATACATTAAATGTTTTGATAATTTTACCATGTTTAGCAAAATGAATCAAACCTAAGTTTTCTGTCAAAATTTTAAGTCTCTACAAATATTTTAACTATCACAATAAAAAAAAAAAAAAAAAATTGAAATGAAAAATGAAATATTTTCTTTATACATGTTTTTTTTTCTTTTGCTCAATTATCAAAAATGTATTTTTTTTTTTGTGGTATTAATAAAATTGGACTATTTAACCCAAGGAACGTCATTAGTAATTTTTCCTCCAGATCAAAGAAAAAAATGTTTAAATGTAACAATATTTGTTTTTATATGTGTTTGAAGGGTACAATTTTAATGAAAATTGGCCAAAAATCAAAAAAGAAAAATTATTAAATTTAAATTTAGGACAAAAATATTTAATAGTGGTCACTGCTTTATTTAGATTTATCAAAAATAAAACACGTTATGCAATTCAGTAGCGATGAATACACCGAAAATTCATAGCCAAAATTCATACAGTACCTACTACAATAATAGTTTTTCGTAACATTTATTTCTGTTGTAGTGTGCTATTTAATGTAATTTGTACATTTTTGGGTAGTTAGATCAGTAAATAGTAATTTATACATAGATACAGTTATAAAAAATAAAATAAGATAACATTTTATAAACAGATGCATTTTTGTGACATAGATGTTCTAAAATTAAATATTCAAAACAATACTAATAAAAAGTATAGATATAAGCCTAAGCAATAATACAAAAACCTATGATGCAGTTGTTTTGAAACTCGGGGACCTAGATTGACCCTTAATTTGATTCTACATTCCAAACGACGATATCTTGCCTCAATAAATAGTTTTCAAGTATTGTGACCTCTGACATAATATAAATTTCTCAGATTTATTTTGATTATAATATTATAAAAACAACACCCATAAGCATTAGTTTTATTCAGTCTTATTATTTTTGTGAGTATAAACACTTTTATATTAAATAGATGTTTATAACTTAAAAAATTATCACACTAAAATTTATTAGTTTGACAAACATATAAAATTTTTAAATTGCTTCACAATTTAATAAATAAAATAAATAAATAAATAAAGTATCATGAGTGCATTAGCCATCTATGAATAATATGAGTATTTTTTTAGGTTTTTTAAAATTTAAAGAAATAAAAATAAATAATAGGTAATACAAAATTTAAAATTTAAATTTTATCTTATATTAATATATTTTTTCACTGGGTATATATTACTTGATAATTTTTTAAAAGTGTTGTATGTTCTATTGTTAGTGTTTTTAATAGTTTATGTTTTATATATTAGTTCATCATTTATAAAGTTATTAAGTATTTTACATATTGTATTATTAATTTACTAATTTAACAAATATTATTTGTATTTCAAAATTAATTTTGTGTTATACATAATGTGTATAAATGCCTTGACTATCACTTTTTTTTGCGAAACACTATATTACTATATTATAATTAAATAAATACTTAAAATTCAATAGTTTGGAAACACAATGAGAACAGTATATTTTAATGAGTTTTTATCGCAAACCCTATTATATGTTCTATATGTATTCATTTATTGTTTACATTAAATATATAGTTTTCTTTTTTGTTTTGTTTATGTCTGTAATATCAAATGTTGTTTTCTTTTCTAGTGCAACCAAAACATAATTCATTTACTAGTGTTGCAACTGAACAAGTACCAGTACGATTGACTCCTGCTTGGGAAGAAAATAATTTACCAAACGACGAACTTAATTTTAAAACATTAAGTATGGATGATGCAGTGTTAGAGAATAATCCTCCAAAGGATAGGTACATTAATTTATTTTATAAGTAAATAATGTGTTTGAAATTATTCATCATATTGATCTTTCAAATTTGTATATTTAATACCTATAAAATTGTGTTATTATGTTTTTTTTTTATGGATTTAGACCTTTTATTTAAATAATAATATGATTATTAATTTAAAAATTTTTATTTTAGATGGAATATTGTGTATTTGATTTTAGTTCTTCATGGTATCGGTATATTAATGCCTTGGAATATGTTTATTAATGCAAAATCTGTGAGTAATATTTTAAGCCCTATTTAATAACTACTAGTTTTTTTTATGAAAATATATTATTTATGTATATTTTATACAAATTATGAAGATCCTCTTTTTCTTTTTAATTGTAATCCTGATTAATACAATTAAAACATTAAATTTCATTATATGTAGTTCATTATTCACACTAAAAAAAAAAATTGTATAGACCCCTTGAAGAAAAGAATACACATAAGATTGTAGTAGACAATTTAATGTATATTTGTAGTCATACATAACTTTGTGATAATTTGTTGATATTTAGTTTAGTTTTTATAAGTAGAGTGGTTAGTGAAGGTTCTTTTGCAGACAGAACTGTTTGTATCTTTGCTTGTACTTTAATTTTAATTTCTTAACTATGGTTACTTCTATTGATTATTCTAATTTTAGAGAATCTCCTAATTCTGTATTTGAAAAAGGATCCTAAGTCTAGTTGGGTTTGTACATTTTAAGAATATATTTAAATTGTATGTCATAATTGAAATGTAAAACTTCCAAGTATTGACAATAAATAATTAAATCTTTATTATTTATTTAGTTTAGAAAGCTTGATTTAGAAACTTGCTGAAGTCCCCATTTATTTAACATGGGATAGACAGTGTCACTTCTCGGCAAACAAGCATCAATAAAGCCCCCTCCCCCTTCAGCTTGTAACTACCATCACCCTCTTTGATATTACTAGCCCCCCAAGAGGGGTATATCGTCCACTTCAAGAAACTCTGATTTAAATAATAAAAATTTTGAAGTGAATGTTACACTATATAAAAATTAATGAATTAATTTAAAGTACTAACATTTGTTTAATGTTTTTTTTTTTTTTGAAATCTTCACCCTAGTTGAGTTATTTAAGTTATGGTTTTGAAACACCTTACTATACTGAAACTATTATAATTTATTTAAATTATTGTTGTCAATAACTATATAATTGTTTCATATTTTTAGTATTTTGTGGACTACAAATTAGGAAATGTTTATTTGGCTAACAAATCAGATTATGCATCAATTTTTATGGTATACTTGACAATTAGTTCACAACTTCCAAATCTTCTATTTAATTGGCTCAACATATTTTGTCCAATAGGGTAAGTTTTAAATTATTTATCTAAATATGTATTGTTTTATTACTAATAATTGATAGTTAATTTACATAATATTTGGTAAATACAAAAAGTATTTATAATATATTTCTATAACATAAAACTTCTTTGATTATTATCTAAAATTATTATTGGTAGAACAAAACTGTATAAATTAATATTCAGTTAGTTATATTTAAACAAAAACTAAATACATTTATTATAAATGTATACAAAATTAAAATAGTTTGATTTGTTTGCTCCGCTTTGATTATGTACAATATTGAACAAAATAAAATAAAATATGTTTTCCTATGGCTTCCAGTGTCCACCTCAGGCACAGTTAACCATTATTATCTAGTAATTTTTTTTTTAATGGTTCTTTGCCTTTGACAACCAAATTAACTAATAATAATTGTTTTTTTTTTTATTTTTTTTTTTTATTATTGTCACCAAAATAATTTAATTTTCGTATAAAAAAAAATACCAAAAACCATGTATGATCAACTTTTTAGAGGTTAAAATTTTGGATATCTAACTTCAAGGTGCACACTTCCACCAATTTATCTACTTCTGAATGGTAAATTTTCAGACTGAGAGGATGGTGATAGCTTTGGTTTAATATTGCAAACAGACAGACAAACAAAGCAATAGACAAACATTTACTTTTATTAATTACAAATATAGAATGCTATTTAAATACCTATTAAAATGTCATGTCCTTTTTCATCTTTGATTTCAGTTAAATATATTTTTTAAATAAAACCTTAGGTTTACTGTATACATATTAAATAGGTATATATTACAGTAAAGTATTTGTTTTGTTTTTTTTTATCAACATTTTGTATAAATAATTATTATAAAATATACCTTAGTATATTAAAATTATACCCAATATTTAAATTAATATTAATAATTTTATTTTCAGAGGGAAATTAACAACTCGTATAGTTTGGTCCATTCTTACAGAAGTAGTTTGTTTTGTTTTCACTGTTAGTTTAGTAATGATCGATACCTCTGAAAAACCAGAATTATTTTTTTGGTCAACTATTGGAATTATAGTGTTATTGAATATGGCAAATGGTGTATATAATAACTCTGTCTTTGGAATGGCAGCGAAACTTCCTACAAAATTTATAGGTGCTGTAATTCTTGGTACAAATTTGAGTGGTACATTTACATCTATTACCAGCATATTATCAATTTCAATTGCTCCAGATGCTCGAACAGCTGCTATATATTATTTTACCACAGCATTATTTGTGTTATTAGCTTGTTTTGATACATATTTTGCATTGCCATTAAATGTAAGTTGTTGTAATTTTATATGTAGATAATGTATGCATTTACAATTTCTATTAAATATGGGTATTCAATAAAATAAAAAAAACAAAATTAACCAGTTGTATACAGTGCTCGAGTTGAGGGGGGAGAACCACAATTAATTTTTCAAAAATGTAAGCATACCTCTACTAATTGTTGGAAATGGAACACGTGGGATGACGGATAGTAATAAAACGTCCTGTCGTCCTCTCTCCCTTAGACCATGTTTTTGTTACATAAGTTGTATAGGTATTCTATAGTTATTTTTATTATATATATATATATATATTTAAACAAACTCTGCTTCCCATTGAACAACCCTTGGATGACAATCTGCCACGGATAGGACAGTACATATTTTGGATTTGTGTCAAAATGTATTTTCATTAATATTTGAACTTAAGGAGCTAAACATAAAATACTTTATACATTAAACCATGCTTTTGATCAAATGCAACTTACCAAAATAACAACCAAATAAAATCCTATAAAAAATCAAACATTTAGTTGGTAAAAGTAAATTCTAAAATAAATAGCCAGCAGTATTGTTGTTAGTATTTGTTTTCAGAAATGATTAATTACTGAATAATGTTTAAAAATTGGTGTGGGCAGCAGAGCCCTTCACATGTTAAGTTGAATTAAGTAATTGCAAAGGACACTGATTTGTTTAATGTCTTTTCTTTTATTGTTCCAATTCGAGCCCTGGTTATATAACATTTTAGTTAGGAGCAATCATTTTTATGTAAATCTTTACCTGTTTATAAATAAAACACCAGTAAAATTCATCATAGTCCATATTAATTAGTACTCACAAGTAATCAGCCTTATTTTCTTTATTTTTATTTTTATATTTTAAATTTCTGCATTTAAAACAAATCAAATTAATTTTTATATGTTCAAATAATCCAAGCTGAGTAAAATATATAATTATTAATATACATTTTTGTTAATATTTTATAAATAATATCTATACCTATGTCTGTATATAGAGATTTTACAAGTATCATGAATTGATTTATCAACGGGAAATTGAAAATCAAGAATCAAAACAAAACGGAGAAAATGACAAAATTCCTTATTGGAATATTTTTAAACAAGCTTTTCCACAATTATTCAATGTATTTTTTATATTTTTCGTCACTCTTTCAATATTTCCAGTTGTTCATTCAGGTACTAATAAACAACATCTTTTTAGTAAATAAATGTATTTTATTTTTTATAACTATTATTTTGTATATTTTTTTTTTTTAGTATTATTATCATTTACTGGAATGAAATTAAAAATACATTTACATATAATATTATTATATGTAAATTATAAATAAATAATATATGTAGATATTTTATCATAATACTCCAGACGACATAATTATTCATTTATTTATATATTAATATTATTACTTAATTATTATAGATATTAAACAGTCAAATATAAATTTCTTCATCCACTCAAAATATTACGTCAGTGTTTTATGTTTTTTGACATTTAATTTGAGTGCACTTATTGGAACATATTTGTCTACTTTGTGTACATGGGTAAAGCTTAATTAAATTTGTTTTGTTTTTTAATTTATTTAATTAAATATAACTGATATAAATTTGTTTTGTTTTAGCCTAAGCCAAAATTTTTATTTGTTCCCGTTATATTGAGAGTGGTGTTAGTTCCATTATTTTTGATTTGTAATTATCACCCTATTGGACATACTAGACTAATGCCAGTAATAATACAAAATGATTATATATTTTGGATTTTGGGAATTATTCTTGGATTGTCTAGTGGTTATTTCAGTTCTGTTGCAATGATGTATACACCAAGGTTAAACAAAAACTACTTATATTGCTTTACTATATTTAGAATCTAATTACTTTATACTATTCATCATATATTACTAAAAGATTTTTTTCATATTTATGTAATTATCAGCGACACTTAGTAATGAAAATTAGTATTATCTATAATAGTTTTTTTTACAAATTTTTGTTTTCAGATGTGTTGAACCAAGATATAGTTCCATTGCAGGTATGTTTGGAGCTGCTTTCCTATTGACTGGTATTTGTTGTGGTATACTCTTTGGAATGTTAATGCCACTTATTGTAAACTGTATCAGTTGGTGAACACATGCAGATTAATAATTTTAAAAACTATTTTTTTTTTCATATTACATATTACTAAAGACTTACTTTTATGTACTATGTATTTTAGCAATTCATACATGATAATAGCATTTATAATTTTATATAGATGCGAGTGTTTTAATTTTATTGTAAAGTGGAAAAATTTGCGCCTTCATATATTTACTTGTAATTCAAAGCTATTATTAATGTAAATTAATGTGCACTAAACTTGCTTTATGGTAGAATAAAATCTGATTTTATCTTCTTAAATTCACATTTGTATAGGTGACACAAAAAGGTTTTCTTATTTTGAAATTAGAAATTTAATGTAGGTATTTTATGAAGTATGATAATAATTTTCTATTAAGATAAATCTCTAATTTTTTCCAAGATAACTTATATTAGTTGCTCAATTATTGTTCATTAAATACCTATCATACTTAATATAATTAATAATATAATAATAATATATAATAATATTATATATTAATATTATATAATAATATAATATTATTAATATAATATAATTGATAAATAAATATACGTGCAAGAATAATTTCAGTGATTGTATCATACTTCTTTAAATGTTTTATTACAGAAATTGTTTTAAATACTAGTACATATAGGTATACAAATTTTTCAGTTTTTTAAAATTATTAAATATTTTTTTTTTTTAATCCTTTAATATAGTAGTATTTATTATATCCATATGGTTTTTAAAATAGCATTATTAATTATTATCATTTTTTATTCATTTTAATTAAAATTATTATTATTACTATTGAATACAAACAAATAAAAAGTACTGTTATTGTTTCAAGAAATTTTATAAAAAAATTATATCTAGGTATATAATTTCAACAAAATTAAACTTCATGAAAAATATCATTAGGAATATCATTATTTCTACTGAGCATTGATACATCTTTTCAAATTTAAATAATTGACATATTTACTGCAATTCTCTCGGCTGAATTCAACGGAAGAGTAAAACCCCATTATGCTCTCTCTCTCTAGTCTATAATTGATTATTATTACATTTCTGTTATTATACAAATTTAAATATCTACTGATAAAAACACCAGATATTTTTATTCTGAATAAAATGAAGAATATTTTGTGTACTCTATTAAAAATTATATTTATTTTGGATTGAACAATTTGTATCATATATATTATAAAATATCTATATTAAAGTATAAACATAAGTACTATTAAACTTTTTTCAGGTCTTAATAAAATTATAATAATTTTTAGTTAATTATTTTTACAAAACATGTAAGAGATGTTAAATACTTCTGATGAGTTTATTATTTTAAATTTATAGACAATTATCATGATTTTTCTGAAATTACATTGGCGGCAAAGATTGATTTGTCATAGGAATTTTTTTTATTTTGTTATTAAACATGTTCCATTTACTTCTATTTTTTGTATGTACTGAGTGTATATTTTTTGTATATACAGTGTTATCCTAATAACTCTTTCAATATTAATTTTTTTTACATTTTGTTCAATCGTGTTTTGTGTGAGAGGGACACTTAAGTAGAGAAAAATTAAATTTTCATTTTCATCCGTTAGTCACTGAAAAAATAACTAGTTATCTGAACATTTTTTAAAATAGCCATTTTGTAAAATGTATATATTATTCTAAAAATTGTAGTGTATCATATATTAATATTTAATTAATAATTTCTTAGCTTTAATGTATAAAAAAAAGACATGAAAACAATTAATATTCAATAGAAGATAAGGAATTACTATGCTGATTATGATTCCTTATTGCATAATGTGTTATTCTATTGAAAATTTTTTTCACACAAATTTTCTAGGAATTAAAATGGCTATTACTAAGAAACTGTTGATTAGATATAAATGTGTGTTACATTAAAAATTTTAGAATAACATCTTTTATAAAATGGCTGTTTTGAAAAGTGATAAAATAAAGTTATTTTTTTCAATACCTAATTAAGGGAGGGAAATAAACATTTTTCTCTAGATATGTATACCTCTTGATTAAAACCTGATTGAAAAAAAAAAATCAATATTTACAGAATTATTAGCATAAAGATAATATTGTAAATGAATGAGTATTATTGATACATTTTCTGAATTATTTTAAAATAATATGAATAAGTAATTTGTGTACAAAGTGTTAAACCAGTAATTTTTAAATTTTATAATATTTGTTATCCAAAATATTATAATTATAAACATACAAACCTTTTAAAGAGGTTCTATGTTTTTGATCCAAGTATTTTAGGTAGTTATTATTAACACATTGAGAGCATATGTCTTTATTGGTAGTTTTCATTGCAACTTGATAATTCTTATCCTTTTAATCACATATCATTCAGCTGCATTTGAGTTGCGCGCTAATGAAATGTCCAAGAGCAGTAAGATTGATATCATTAGGTTCTGTGACTTCTTTGAAGTACATTTGAATTAGTAGATTCTTTATAACTTACTTTGTTTTGATGTGACCAATGTTTTCTTCAAATATTTTTATCCGCATTTGGCAATTTTGTAATTAATCCAAAAGAGCTTTTTTTTAAAGGAGGGGGAGTTGGTTGAGAATTTTTTTCTTTCATTTTAATGATAATATAATATGATACAGGTATTGATTATTATTATGATAAATTTTCAAAAAGTTTTTATTGTCATTTACCATACCAATTAGATCTTGGTAAACCTGAACTTAAACCTTCCTCCACATTCTTAAGAAAAGTTTTACTCGACTTATCTGCAGTTTTTTAGTTATAATTTGTTGGCAAAAGTTATGAGAACTGTTTCATTCCTTTACAAAATAAGATGTTTTGTAAAACAAAACAAAATGAAAGAAACTCCCCCCCCCCTCAAAATAAGCTCTTCTTTTAGATTTATTACAAAATCCTCAAATTCGAAAAAAAAATGTTTACAAATACATTGATGGCATCAAAACAAAAAAGGTTGTAGACAATCTACAAAAAAAGATGTGTTCAGAAGTCAGAGAACCCAGTGATATCAATCCTATTGCTCTTGGACCCTTTGTTAGCGTATAATTCAAACAGTCCTGAAACTTTTTGAAAACAGCTCGTATATATATTGGACGGCAAAATGGCTGAACAATCCAATGACTTGAATTGGTTTCAATATGCAGTCATTGTGTATAAACAATAACACTATATTATGTTTACTTAATATTTAATAAGACAAATTAGTGTTAAAATAAAAAGTTTTAATTTATATAATATAAGAAATATAGTTATTTTGCTGTTTATATGAATAATTACACCATATTGTGTTAAAAATTGTAACTTTTAATTTATATGCTATAGAAAGTAGTGTTATTTTCCCAATTGGTTGTAAACTTTGAAACATTTCATGGATTTCAGTAAATTTATAACTGTCCATTGTCAATATTTTGCTTAACTATATAGAATTATGTTAATTATATGTACCTAATATAATTTTTACTTGCAGTTTAATTATTATCATTTGATATACTAATGCCTATGAAACAATATCGTTTTCACTAAATTTATAAATGTGTTAAAAATGAATACCTAGGTACTAGGTATGTAGTTAATTTTGAATTCATAATTATTATTTACTTAATTTTAATTTAAAAAAAATAAAATTAAGGACTAGTAAGTTGTCACATTGCTTCAGTACCTACATTTGAGTATTCATTGGGGGAGGGGGGATTATAATTCAAACACACACACACATATTATATATGTTGAGATGAGGAAATTATTAAGAAAAAATAATTTAAGCTATGGCAGCAGAACAGGAAGAGAGAAGGCTGGATAGAATACAAAAGATTGAGTAAGGAAGGTAGGTAAGTGGGTGATAAACAAAGCAAAGTTATACAAATATGATGAGTTGTATAAAGCACTAGTAACAAAGCAAGGTGAAAAAGAAGTTTATTAGAGATTAACCATGGTTAGAGAAGAATGGTCTAGTGATTTTTATAATGTATAAAAAAATTTGCAGATCCAGATGATGTACCAGTGGAAATGCGGAATTAAGCATAGGCTAGTTAAAGAATTTTTTTTTAATAGAGGAACCTCTAACAGGAGTGTAAATGCCAAGCTAGCAAAGAAAGGGTTTTTAATACCTAAGTTTAAATTTAAAAGAGATATACAAATTGTAGAAATCATGGAGGAATAAAATAGATAATAAACGAATAAATATACTGAGATGGTTTAGACATGTCATGTGGATTAACTAGTCAGAAGCAGTATGAATGGTAACTAAAATAAACGTTGGAGAATTGAGGAAAAGAGGAAAACCTAAAAAAAAGATTTGGTTGGATGCGATAGAGAATGATATAAGGAGGTTTTATGCGAAGACGTTGTGGTTGATCAGGTCAAATGATCAAGTTACACCAAATAACAGGATGAAGGCAGAAGAGAAAAAGAAGCTATACTAATTTGCTTAAGATTTTATTATTTTAGAATAGATATAAAGCCAATAAATATTTATTTAAAATTTACATATGTATACCCACTAGCTGTTTCGCACGGTTTTGCCAGTTCATAGTTAACTGTTGTTACCAAGTAATTCTTTTTTTTTGGAAGAGTATTTCTTGGCCAATGACAACCAAATTAACTAACAAGAACTTTTTTTTTCATTCATGTTGCCAAAGTAACTTATAAATCTACAAAAGTAATTTGATTTTCGTACTAAAAATACCGATAACTCGTTAGCCCACATCACTTAATAAGGAATAAATATGGAAAAAAAGTACCTAGTGTGAAGTTTTAACACTATCCGTTCATTAGTTCTAGCATGAAGGGTAATAAACATCCATCCATCCAAACAAACTTTTATATTTATAATATTAATATTAATAAGATCAGGATAGTAATCCATCAAAATATCCAAGGACAAAATATATTTATTTTTTTTTAGATTCTTAAGATTTTTAATTATACCAAAGGACGTGTGGAGCCATCCGTTTTGAGAATATGAACCACCCCCAAATTGACTAATTTTTTTTTCAACTTAAGTTTAGCTAAGTTTTAAAGTGGAACCCTTCCTGCGTTCTCCTCTGTGGCTGTACTTATACCTGGGTTCGAGACTTTATGAAATCCATATTTCTTTGTAGGTAGGTATATTTATATTAACACTTGTGTTAAAGTAGATAAATGTTCATATAGAACAAAAAAGCTTTCTGAATCATGATCAAGTATACTGGAACATGCATTATTTTTATACTTACGTGATTGTTTTAAAGTAAATGAATTTGGTGTTTTGGGAAATTCATCAATTATTTTATTTTTCATATTCAATAATAAATCATTTTCACTATGAAACATTGGTGGGCTAAATCCATTATCATCATATGATAACCTTTTAAAGCAATATTTATGCCTATATTTTGGTGAGTCTTCATCAATATCTGAATAATTCTTGACTTGATGTAGTTTTGAAATAGAATTTTTTAATTTATCTAAACATATTATGTAGGTATATATTATATTATATATACATATATATTTTTTATTTATTGAAATTTAAAATAATAAAATATTTACCATCATAACCATATATTTTGTTTATTATGTATGAAGTCCAATTCTAATTTTCATTATCTGGATTAGCCATATTAATTAATAGTTTGTTGTATTTTTTTTATACCTTTTACAGCATTTGGATAGTAAAAATGGTGATGGTTGATTTGCAAATTTTTATATACAACTTGGAGACCATTTGAGAAGTCAACAATTACAAATTTTCTGAAAGTAAAATTAAAATTACTTCAATTTTATGTTATTAAATTGAGCTTAACTGAACATAGATTTACATATTTATAATTAATGAGCAATAATATAACATTATAACATAATGTACAATTATGAAGATATTACAATATTATTGAATACTAGAAACTTCTGTTCTGCCAGAATGCAACAAAGGAAAAGTTGAATACCATCCATTTTTATTTGGAATTTCATAACAAAACATCTTGTTATTAATCATAGAAATAGACCAAGTATTTTGTTCTGATAATTGTGACATTAAATATTTGTCTAATAAACTAAAAGCACAGGGTTTTAAATATAAATCGTGTTTAATTAAAAATGAACGTCTGACCAAAAAGTATAAACTTAAATCTAGATTAAATACAATATTATCAGTTAAAACTATTTTATTGTTTTTTAAAAAACAACAGTTTTTTTGATCTTTTGAAATTATTGTAAACAATTTTCATGTCATAGATAAATACTAAGGATTTGACATATTAACTAGTAAAGGACTATGTTATTTCTTATAAAATCAATTATCACTCAATTCACATCTGCACTTGGTACCTCCATAATTTATTTTAATTTCTTCAACTCAACAAATAATTTAGTGCAGTGGAATTATCCTTTCTATTTATTTATTTATTTTTTTTATTTTTTGCATATAGTTTTCAAATTTAAATGTTAAAAAAGAATCCAGTGTTCCATAGTACATCAATATTATGTGAATTAAAGCGTGTACATTATGTGAAATTTGATGCTCTGTGCTCACCATAAATATTTTTAAAAGATTTAACAAAATGTAGAAGAAATTTTAGAAATATTGGATAAATTCCATTTGTTTAATCAACCTATTAGTACAAAGTATTCAAATTGCTACATGTAGTATTAAGAAGTTTAAATATACATCACTATTAACATTATATTGCAGTACTACAAGCCAAGTATATAATAAGAATTGAGGGAATTCTATTGCTATCCACTGTTTCTATTGAAATAATGATCGCGGTTGCCGTTGAAAGTCTATAGGAACACATAGTAAAATATTTTTTTCGATAAACATTGAAATATTTTTAACTTTTTTAAAATTTAATCTAACATTTAAACTATCACAAAGCCATAATGAAATTAATATTTTTGTAACACCACAGCAAATTAAGTGTTGATAGTCGAGAGGCACATTTGAAACTAAACCTATGTTAGGAATCTATAAGTTGGTTTTGCCAGTATGATATTCATAATCACTACAGTTATCAAAATCTTTATCAATTCTTAGACGAGCATTTTCATCAAGGAAATATATTCTCCTTTTAATATATTCCCCTTCAACTTCACACATAGTGCAACTTGAATACCCCCATGACCTTTGGTATGCAATATAAATGATTTAGCTGGTGCATCAACTAAAAATCCTTCAATTTTTAAGTTAAATTTTTTCCATCGAGAATAATATTATATTTGGATATTTCTTTAGTTTCTTCAAAAATAAATTTAAAAATCATTTGAATCATCAGGTTTATGTTGTTTTGCATAATTAAGACCAATTACCAACACATGATTATAAGGGAAAACTGACCTTAAAATTGGTCATAATTGGCCATTTTGAAATAGGTAAACCATGAATGTTTACAATTATTTCAATATCAGTTTTGGTTAATGAAAAAGTATCATAATGTTTAAGAAAATTTTTACATCATTTTGAAGGTCAAAATGATAATATTTTTCTCAAATAATTTCTTTAATTATAGTTGATCTGGGAGTTTTCAATAATATTCTCGCATTAATAGGTAAACCAATTTTTTTGAAATTTATTACTGATTTTGTAACTTTGGAGCACTCTTGTAATATTCTTCTTTGATTTAATTGTTACATTTTCTACAAAAAATAATGTACTTAATAATTATTTTAAAAATTAAAAAAAGTTTTAATTTATATCTAGGCCTGATTTTATTTTAATATGCTATCTTAAGTATAGTGGTAATATGATTTTATAAATTCCAAAAGAATATTAACAAAAAGAAAAATCTATACTTATATAAGTATGTTGATAATTACATTATCAACCTATGTTATTGTTTAATAAATATTGTAATACCTACCTTAAATTATCCATTTGTGGGTTATTCAACAAAGGAGAGTTGTCAGCCAAAATTTGAAAAAAATGAAACTTCTAAACATTTAAAAACTTATTTATAACATATAAACCGTGTGGAGTTCAATTATTAAAAAATTCATAAAATTATATTATGATAAGTATAAATTAATTAGTTTTTCATTATTATCTTTTTCAAGTTCAAACGTTGGTGTTTTGGGACTTTCCTGGAAAGGAAACATTTGGGAAACTCCCGTGGTCGTCATATGTTAAGGTAATAGTTTAATCAACCACAATCTTATTGTGATTGTCCGGGACCAACTTTGGTAGCGACGTTGCGCACTCTTGCGATGTCAACAGTTAAGACGTACGTAATTATGAAATTACAATTTTGGAATCACAGCCCACAAATAATATAATATACGACGTTTAAAGCGTAATTGGTGCCGTGACCTCCTAGCTGACTGATCATTGTCACACATACGTCATGGAGTCCTATTACTGAATAGGTTCTCCAATCAAGCTAATCAAGCACACCTGTCTTTCATCTATTGTGCTTATTGTAAAATTATCATATAGATAGTACAAAATAAATAAATATGCTAAAAACAAAAAGGATCGTATTTATGATTAATTTTATAACTACTTTAAGTAGTTATAACACTCCGAAAGTCGGTGTAGCCACTGTTGTAGGTGGGAAGCTGGGAATGTAGAATACAGACGGGAATTTAATGTATATTTATAAACAACGATAAATCATTGGTAACGAAAAACAATTCTGAGCGCAGTTCAGTTGATAGTGATGTTTTGTCAATAATATATAAATCATATTATGGCGAAATAATTAAATAGGCGTTATATATTTTCTTTAATATTTTTTTAAGAATTGTTCTGATTTTCCGGTTTACTCATATATTTCGTACATTTTCCCGTTTTTTTTACTTTTATCTTTTATTGGAAAAACTGTTGGGAAAATCAAAAAATGACCTCCCTAAAGTATCATACAAAGAAAATTTCCTTTTAGAAAAGCTGTTATATACATTGGAGTAAGCTTTCTGGTAGAAAAAGTGTTCACATAATAAAAAATAAATAAACCTCTTTGTCAAACCAATACATTTTGCGCTCCACTAAAAAAACAGGCAAATGCAGTGATGGGTAAATAATATTATAATTATAAGGAACAGTATATTATAATATATCAAGATATAAATATATTATATTTAACTTTTAATTCAGTTTTTTTTTCTTACTTGCTTTGTTGTACATTTTTTTATCACACTGTGTATAATTCAAATTTTATGACAATAGCTTCTATGTTTAGAACTGCAAGTCTTTCTGAGAGCAAAGATGACCTTAAATAATGTTTTATTCGACAAAGTATAAAAAAGATCTTTTAGTCGAACAGTTGGAGGCCAAATTACATAGGAACTGTGTGTAATTTGAGTAATACTCCTAAATCTTGCAATGCTCTTAAAGTAACATCAACATATGGAAAAAAGATGGACATACTTTGCACAGTGAGTGCAGTCACTGTTTTTGGTGAGAAGTTGGGAATGTAGGATATAGAGGGGTAATTAATTTGTATCTGTAAGCAGCAATAAACTATTGCTTATTAAAAACGATTCTGAACGGAGTTCAATTGATAGTGATGCTCTTATCACAAGCAGAGGTTAACAATATGTATGTCATATTATGATAAAATAATTAAATAGGTATTATTACCTATGTATTTTCTTTAATAATATTTGTTTAATATTGTACCAATTTTCTATGTTTTTCCCGGTTTTACACATTTGTTGAGAAAACTCAAGGTAAAATCGAAAAATGACCTCTCTAAAATAACTTTCCAGTCAGATTTCCTTACAGAAGTTTGAATTGGAGGAAAGTGGTGATGCATTATTAACACGCCTCACGTCATACCACTACATAAATGACACTCCACTACTCTTCTCCAAAACAAACTTAAAAGTAGAATATCTTATAAGTGGATTGACGGAAATCAAAAACTTAAACCCCCAACATTTATTTGAACTAACACTCTATCTATTTATGGAATTTTTAGTACAGGTTGCCATTTGAAAATCAAAAGTAGTTAGTGGTTTTCCCCTAAAAATAAGGGTGACAAAAAATTACATAAATATAAAAGTGTAGAGTAGCTTATTTCTTAAATGTTCTAGAAAACAAATTCTGAAAAAGTTAATACTTTCCGAGATAATGAGTGTCATGATAGAATTATTTATACCAGGGGGGCTATTGCTCCTCCCCCGAACCATCCTTTAAATAAGGCCTTGACTTGGCAATATAATATATATTTAACCATGGTCATACATATCTATAATTGAAATATAGTAATATCAGACCATCAGAATCTATAGAATTATAAAAAAAAAAAAAAATGGAGAAATATTTTCGCAACTGTATATTTATATATATATATATCACTTTGTATTAATTATCTAATATATTTTTTTTTTATCTAAATTATCTTGTTTTCTATATTTGTCATACTATAAAAAAAACTGTCATATAATTATGACAGTTTTTTTCTCTTTTCTTCTTAATATATACCTATACTTAGGCCAGTTCTTACCAACGTAAACGTTGATTTTTAAACGGAGTTTATAAGATAATCGACCAATCGTGGTCGGTTATTAGTCATAAACTCAGTTTAAGTCAGATAAACACACTTTTTTACGTTGGTGAGAACGGCCTTTAAACTATTTCATTATTATTTTCTATATAAATAATTTTATCATTATGTCTAAAGATAACTTTCTACTCAAACACAAGTTATAGCTTATAGGAGAAGATTTTATTTTATTTTTTTAGGTAATACGTCTGTATATTAATTTAAAATATATATATATATATGGGGGGGGACCTAGGCCTCTGTAACGCAAATAATAATAAAGCCTCATCGTCATTGCCATCCCTCAGTGAAAAATTAAATTACCATATTACATTATAAACCTATGTCCTAACTTTCTATCAATAGTAATTGTTTAGCCATATTTACCCACTTGAGTCTTCTGCTTCATTCTGTCTTCCTTAAGACATATCTACATTTACCTACATAATAAAAGTACCTACTTTCTACCCAAGGTGTACTGATAGGTGTATTGAACCTATCAATACACCTACCTTCTACCTATATATTTATAATATTACTAATTTTATAATAATTGTATATTTGTATCAAGTATATACTCATTTCCTACTTAAATTTTAATTGACATACTTAGGCTTATATTTTAACAATTGCACTAAATATGTGAAAGTAGGTATGTAAGTACCTACCAAGTAGTCCTCACCTAAGGAAACTTACACGAGAACATCTCGAATATAACTGATACTATTTTGTTATTTTGTTTTTTTTTTACATAGCATACATAGTAACATAACACAGCATTTTTTTTGGCCACAGGATTTAGCGAACATAGTATGCATAGCATACGTACCGTAGCTTTCTGTGTGATACTGTAGCCGCAGTTTAACTGGTTAAGTATATTAGAATAATCATGAACAATATATAATGGTAATAAATAATAATTAGTTCGGAACTAAGATTACCCTTGGTTCATGCTTTCATGGTTTGTAATTTGTATTATCTATGTATTCAATATTCATAAACGTACCTTTATTATCTATAATTATACCACGGCTATAGTTATTATCTATAGCCGTGATTTCTACTATGATAATGCATATGTATTGTAATGTTTACGTGAAATAGTGGTCATCAGCTGTTGTGGTAAATAATATGATAATGTCGCTGTCTGGTGTAATCTGTTTGTTTTGGTTTTGCTCATTGGTTCATCGTTCTGCGCTCATTACTTATTAGTCATCATATTACACAAAGTTTAGAACTTCATTTATTTTTACTTACCTATTTCACTATCGTAATTTATTTTTTTTCAATCCTAATGTGAACTGTGAAGTTGATTTGATTGAACCTTTTAAAACTAACTTTTTTGAAAATTTTAATTCAATATTTGTAAAATGACTGATTTGAAATCATTGGAACATCCAACATTGAAGGTATATCTTTAAATTACAATCATAATATTTTATGAATATTTTTGTTTGTAAAACTGGTTCCAAATTTCATTAATAATATTTAATTATTCAGAACAACAATACAATATTGTTACATGTTCACCTACACTTTCAGATCAATATTAGATAGTTATAAAGAAGAAGTGTAACACTTTGTTAATTGTTGATTTAGAAATAAATGTTTATTTAGGTTCCATATGAACTTCTCAATAAGAAATTTCGTATCACACAAAAAACACTAGACAGAGAAGTTTCATACTTTCAGAATTCTATACAAGATTTGGAATGTGATATGTCAACAGATATCACAATACCAGACGGTTCTCATATTTCTTCATTACTTAGTGGCATGGTGGAAAAATTGAAAGTGATCAAAAGAAAGGTTCAATTTTATAAGCTATTTTCATGGTTAAATTGTAATAATTATATAATTTTTAGGCTGATGAAGGTATACATGATGAATTAAACGCTGGTATGATATGTAAAAAAAGGTTAGAACACTTACAAGAACATGATTCACCTTGTGAGGCTATTGTACAAAATTGGAGGCGTTGTCGATTAGATCGGATGTTAGTTGAATACTTTTTACGAAGTGGTTATTATTTTTCAGCCAATAAACTGGCTAACTGTTCAGATATTATTGATCTAACTAATATAGGTATAAAACATTGAATGTTACTTATTAAGTGAACTAATTAATTATTAAAAAATAGAATAATTTTAGATTTGTTCATGATATCAAAGGAAGTTGAACAATCATTAGCTAATCACGAGACAGCAAAATGTTTAAGCTGGTGTCATGATAACCGGTCCAAATTACGGAAATTAAGATCAACTATGGAATTTAATTTACGAATACAAGAGTTTATTGAGCTCGTACGTAAAGATAAACGTCTTGATGCTGTAAAGTAAGTACAAAGATTTGAATTTTTGTAATTTGGTTGCATCTCAAGATGTATAAACAAAAAAACATTGATTCTTTTATATGCAATATTATTGAGTTATATTATTTTTAGACTTTAGATTCTGAAGAATATCTTGGTCTTAATAAGTATATTTTGTATTTAATTTTTTGTTTTCTTTCTGTAAACAACAGAAAATATCAGAAATCTTGCTCTGATTACAGTTCCTATTTTTTATTGAACCCCATTACAAAGTGTGTAGTCCAAAATTGGAAGTGCGCTCTACAGATTTGAAAAGTGTATACCTACTATTGAATTAACTGATTAAGTAGTGTACATAATAATTAAAAATTATTTGAATTTTCAAACGAAAAAATTATCTGATAAATCAAATAAATTGTCAGTTAGATTTTATCATGTTGGTACTTTGTGAAGGAAACTTATAATCATTGTTTCAAAATGTTAGCTTTATATAATTGGCAATACCTAGGTGTATTGATAGGTAATTGGAAAAAACAACGCTGTAAAAAAGGTCAATGTATTTTACATACTTCTGATCAAATAACTTTTGTTTTATGGCTCCAAAGAATATTCCAAAGACTTATGCTAAATTTTTTTTTTTTGAGGGGGGTTGGACTAAATATGTACAGAAATCCAAAAGTACACTTGTTCATGATCTTTTAGACACTTGTTTATGAAATAAACTTCACATTAGCTAGAACGTATACTTTATGATATTTACAATGAATAATATTATTTTTATTGTTATTGACTTTAATTGACTTAAAACTAATGTTTGTGATTTTTAAGTAAAATGCATTTGACGTTTTTACCTTGTTTTTTTTATCCTTGACGATTTTTAATTGATATATTTTCTTAGATTCATTTGATATACCTTGGTCAAAACAAAATAACATTATGAACTGATTACCACGATTAAAATATTAAAATTATAGAATCTTGTTCATTAGTTTCCTTTATTTCAACCAGTTTGTTGTGAAAAACAAAGAGTTAAAAATAATTGCTGATAAAAAAAATATTAAATCTGTATTACTTCCAAAATTTTATGTACGCTGGACTGAAGTTATTATACAGTCTATTAGTTGGAATATTGAGACATCTGAGACAACTTATCAAATATTTTATTTTCAAACATATAAATACTTATAAAACTGTTGATTTTTACAAAATTCTTACTAACATAAATCAATTTAATTTGTTGTGTTTTCTTGCAAATCTAGGGTACTTATACACAAGATTTCAAAAAAAAGTATTCAAAGTCATAATTTAATAGTACAAAATGTCTGTAATATGATTTTATTTCTCTGTAATTTATATAATGTCTACGCCTATATTTTACTGTATGATATATATATATATTTTGTACTTTGAATTTAATTTAGTTTTTTTTGTGCAATTTGTATGCATGTATCCTTGCTGCTAAGCCTCATTCAGTGAATGTTGAGAGACTAATATCATATAATATAATATTTTGATTATTACTAGAAATTATAAAAAATTAATTTTATATTAAATTAAATATTTTGAATATTTTCTACTTTAATTTTCATCCAGTAGTTATGAAATATCTTTCCGACAAAAAAAAAGCCTTAATAAAGTTCATTCACTTGTCTTACAATAACATTGGTTTAAAGATGTTTTCTATAAAGTTTGTGTATGAAAGCTTATAAAAAGTCAAATTTTATATCCCACATAAAATAAAGTATCAATAAGTGTTATTTTTTTTTAGTTTGTAGAATACAAATTCTGTGGAATTTGATGAAACAAAAAAAAAAAAAAAAAATTGTTAATATATTTTCAAATTACAATGATATAGAGGAGTGACTTTGCTTCCAAAGTGTTGTATCATTGTACATAACAAAGTGAGTAGGTTTGTAGAAAAAATTTTTATGAAAATATGAGCTGTCTGATTATCAATATCAAGAGTAGTTTCTGATGGTACATTTTATTTAGTTGGTGTACAAGAAGGTTTTTTTTTTATTTTCCTAATAGTTTTCTTTTAGTTGGGTAAATGTATGCAATTAACATTTTCTGTTAATTTTGATTTTTTTTTTTTTTGTGATTCAGTTTAAAAAAAAATCATTAAGACCTGACATTTTCATTGAATACTTTGGCTAGGTTAGGATACTATAGGCACTTTCTAGAAGTGGTATAATATTCAAAATATTCTGGTGATTAAGCAATTTATAGTTAAAATTGTTGAATTCAATTCTTTTTTGGTTTTATACGAATACAATTTTTTAAGCATAACAAAAATGCTCAAAAATTTAAATGAGATTCATTATAATTTGTACTTGATGGTAAAAAAAAACTGAGTCTAATTAGTATTATTTAAAAAAAAAAAATGCCAATATTATAACATTTCAAAACATGATTAACCAAACTACACTCAGAATCGTATTTTGTTAGCAATGATTAATCGCTACTTACATATACGTAAATTAAATCACTATTATTAATCCTTCCTTTTTTTAAAATTTATAACAATCAATTACTCTACACCAAATGTTTTAATTATTTTTTAGGCACGCTAGGAAGTATATATCAACATTTGAAGATACTCGTATTGATGAAGTACAGCAGTGTATGGTTTTATTGGCTTTTCCAATTGACACTGGTAATTAATTTAAATTCTAATATTGAAAACCACTGCAATAGTTTTCAAACTGTGGGTCACGGCTCTGGGGGGGGGGTTATTATCAAGAGATTCGTGTCTATAGTAAATACAGTAGAATATTACAGTAAATTTATTTATTTACATTTTTATTATTATTATCATTATTCGAGAGGGAGCCGTTTATTTGGTTTTCAAAATCAGAAAAGCTGTGGACCCAAAAAGATTGAAAACAATTGGCCTATTAGTTAAAAATAATTAAAATGTTTAAATATGTATACATATATTTTTTTCATGGTAGTTGTTCTGAAAATTAGGTTTAGCTTAATTTTCAGGATATTAATTGAGAAATTTAAAAACGTCTTAATTACTATCAGTTTTCAATCAAGCTTTTAATTTTAGATGAAACTTTAAGAGCATATCTTTTATCATATTGATATATTGAATTGATTGTATATTGAAAATGCCAAAACCTTTATTGCAATTTTCTTAAATTCTATATTTGTGTAATCAAAACAATATATTATATAATTCTAATTACAATGTAACATTTAATTTATTATGAAAAAAAAAATCAAATGTAATTCATAGAAATTGTATTGTGTTTTGATTGTGAATTTTGCTAATGATATCATTTTTTATCTATTATTTTTCAGAAATATCACCTTATAAAGAAATGTTTGATGAGGCTCGCTGGCAACGCTTAATTGAACAGTTTCGCCAAGAAAATTACAAACTACATCAATTATCTTCGCAGTCTGTATTTACTGTTGCATTACAAGCTGGATTATCTGCTTTAAAAACTCCATATCCTTTTTAAAGCTTATTTTTAATTTCAGTTCATATAAATAATTTAATCTTACATCTTGTAGCATTTTGTTTTATTGATTAAATTTAAATTGAAATGATATGTTATGAGATACCAACTCATACATTTTGTGATGATAACTAATGTTAAAGGAATTTCTTTTTATGTATACATTAATGATTCGGTCATTATCATCCAAAAAATTAGGTTGCCAGACCAGAAATAGAACCTGAGACAATCGGGGGAAAATCAGGCGATTTTCAAGAAGAACAATAAAGAAACTTTTTTAATTTCATATTGTTAAATTAATATTATTAAGGTGTACAATACTTAAATTCCATAATCAACCTATATTATTAAAATAAGTATTTGATAACTTAAACTACGTAACTAAGTATTTTTTTTCTTAACTTAAACATACTCAGTGTTATAGTGAAATTAAAGAAGCTCGCAATAGTAGTTGTCCAGTTTGTCAAGAATGGTTCAATACTTTAGCTAGGCCATTACCATTTGCACATTGTAGTCAATCTCGACTGTTTTGTTCAATTTCAGGACTTGCATTGAACGAACATAACATACCTATGGTTTTACCTAATGGATACGTTTATGGAGAACAGGTTTACATTAATTCATAACTTCATACAAATGATTAATAAATAATATGTGATACTTATTTTTTATTTAAAGGCTTTAGTAGAAATGGCTAATCAAAATAATGGACAAATTATATGTCCAAAAACTAAGGATTTATTTTGGTTGAAACAAGCAGAAAAAGTTTATGTAATGTAATAAAACAATTTTTATATTTTGATTTAGTAATTTACTGATATACCGATGTGCCATTTGCGGTTATCATGTTCTTGTTAAATCCAAAATTATTGACTTATTATGTATAATTTCTCATCCTTTTTGACAATTCTGTCTTTTTTAATAAACAATTTAATTACATAATGTAATATGCACTTATTGTTTTATGAAATTAAATTAGTTATTTCCAATTCTTCAAGTTGTTTGTATATTTCATATTAACTTGATAAAACAAATTTCTTGTAAGAATCGTTTTATAGATTAATGATTGTACATTTTATATATTCAATGATACTTGAATTTATATATATATATATATTTATGATATCTAAGTTTTGATTAAAAATAAATAAATACAATAAATTAGTTATATTTATGTAATAAACAAAATGCAATTTAATTAAATATTGCTATATTATTGGTATAGCTGAATTAAATTTATCAAATACTTTTAAAATGTATTTCATATATATATATATACAGTATGTAAGCCTATTATTTATCATGGTTGTACATTAATTTTCAACAATGTATTTTTATAATTATATTTTCAAGATTAAATTAAGTTTAACCTAATAATACTATGCGAATGATCATTTTAAAATTGTAGATTTTAGTTTGAAACATAAAAATACTTAATAACTGTGCTCTGATTGTAACAGCTTTGTTTACTGACATTTAGTTTGACTTGCAAGACAAACTACTAATAATTAATATAAGTTTGTTACAAAGTTGCTATTTGAAAAACAAATATTTAAAATGTGTTGATTGTATTCTTTACAATTGCCTATTTGTTTGTATTATATTTTTACTATTTAATTACATATTGTTAATACACTATCATAATTAGAAAGTAAACAAGTTAAAGTGTATTTTAATTTTTAATCATCATAATATTATTTTTATAGGAAATATTATAATATAGTATACTACACAAAAGGTGTGTAGGTAAAGATAATTTATGATTGTTATGACATGACTTAATTATTTGTAATAAGAGTGGAGTGAGATGTTAAAATAGACTAAAAATTAAAGTTGTGATATTAAGTTAAAAGAAATGGGTAGGGGGAATAAACCTCAAGACTCCCTCTTTTTATCTACGCATCTGAGGGACTCTATTTTGGGAATTATTATTAATTTGATATTTCATATAAAATAGTAATCATTTTGTGCTATAAATGTTTAATTATTTTGATTCATTTATAAAAAATAATAAAATTAAAATTAATCATATTCTGTACAAATATTTTAATATTGGTAATTTTTTAATAAGTACCTATTAAGTTAATGTTTGTCAAATTTTTAAAATACCTTCTGGGTAATATTTTATCAAACCAACTAAAGCAAATTCAGAGCTAAACACAACGGGAATTATAAAATAAATTTCATTACAATTAGTTTATTTTGTGCTAAAAGCTAAAATATTTTCTTTTTATCAATGTCATCAACATGGTTCAGTGGTGGCACTAATCTCTAATGGGTTAATGAATACAACGAAGAATAAAGAAATAATTTGCCGTTTCACTTGTATTTAACAAATTAGTACAAACTTCTAATGAGTAATACACTAAGAAGTCTTTAAATTGTCACTATAGTTGAATAAAATTGAAGAATATAACAATGTTTATTCAAACGGACGAAAGAAAACGGTGGGAAAATATAATTGAAAGGCAGATGGCGCGGCTGTAGCGCAAGCTCGTGAACGCGGTCATCGATGATCACCGATGACTGTCCGCCATTTTCCGGCGGCTGTTTGTGTTTGTCTCGCGCACACACAACAGTTTCGGCTACCGTCTAGCCAACATAACCTGCTTGTGCAGAGCCGCCGCTGCCGCCGCCGCCGCTGTCGCCGACGACGACACTGCTATCCGTTACGACCACTACGATTGACCACCATTCCATTAGTGCGATCGCGTACGGTGTTATATTTATTATTTAATTTTTTTTTTTTTGAAACTCGTTCGGCATTCGTTTTAATGTTCGCATACCGGTAAAAGTCGCAGCTGTCTCGCGTTGTAGTGATACGATTTTACCAGATATCACGCACACACATATTGTTTATGATATAGGTAATAATATTTATTATTCGCCGATCGGATGATTCGATGCTTATTAAGTTCGTTCGCGCCAATCGACGATATCATTGCCGCGCGCAAACGTGAATTTAGTGAATTTTTCTAGAGTACGACGACGACACGTTTACTAGTGCGCGTGGTTATCATTGCTGTCGACCTGCCACACAGACGCCGCTTACGTCGTTATTGTATTATTGTTGTCGACGCCGCTGCCGCCACCACCGACGAGCTCAAAAACAAGGTAAGTCGTGTAGTTTTCAATGTCATTTTATTAGGCGCGTATATAGTATTATTTTATTAGTAATCGATTGGGTCTATTTGCCTTAATTGTTCCGTTATATTATCTCTCACGAATTCATGTATTATTTTGTTTTTCGCGGGGGAAACAAACTTGACCGATAACGTGCTTATGCCATCGGTGACATTATTATCATAATTATTGATGAGAATTCTATGTTCAATGTTCATACCGAATAGAAAATTCAATTGGTTAGGTTCATAATACTTAGCATGTGTATTCGTATATTATGTTGTACATTCTTACCTACCTATTATTAATATAACAACCGTGTCGCAATGTCTGTAGTAAGTTGACTGTATATTTTGTAACAATTCGAATGTCTGTCGACCTTCCGTAAAAAAAATTTGAAATAATGTCGGATAGGTTAAATATTTATCCAGAACATGCTTAACTGCCTGACCTTCCGATCATATTGTAATTGGCATGATTTCACATGTGCTTCTCCAAGAACAGGTATACGCCGTAACAATACACCTTGGCAACGTTGTGTTTTTATTTTTTTACGATATCCACCGTTATTTTGCCCAATATATTTGCTTATAATTATATTGGTGTGTATGTATATTTAATTATCTAACTATATAATAAAAATTTGTTTACCTATGTTATTATTATTTAGTCGGATCCTCAAAGATTGCAGGAACTCGATTTCAAATATCTTTCTATAATATATTTCGTATTTATCGAGGGTGTGGACACCTTTTGTGTTTACCATCATTATCTTGTAACGGACGGCCGGTCATAACATTATTATAATTTGTTTAGTGTTTCACATTGTTATTTGTTGCAATTTATGATTTTTCTCTTTAAAATAAAATAACGTATTTTTACCGATTTCTGCGATTTCTATAATAAGTAGGTAGGTATACAGTGACTCGCGTCATAAATAAACAATAATAACAATAGTAGGTAATCCATGTTAATTGGAATTTCGCTGATTTTACTACTTTAAAACACTTGTTCGTTTTAACAATAATAATATGAATTGTTAAAATAATAACGCCGCAGTAGGTATATTTTTTTTTTACAAAGGTCAGCATAATTTTTTTCTTTTTGAGTAAACATGATAAGTGTATATTTGTTACATAAAAGGAGACGCGGATTATCCTTAATATCGATTACCAAGGTGAGTAGGATAATTCGCTTGCATCGGCGTTTCCTTAAACCGATTACATTGCGCTGGAACACAGACGTAAGTATAGGAACACCGTTTTTTTACTCACTGTTAGCGCATAATGAAAATGTATAACTCATAGTATTATTTATTTTACATTTGATGAAATTCTAAAAACCTTATTCTCGTACATTTTCTGATGAATTTCTCATTTCACACAAATAAATTATTATTTCATTGTTTTGTTGGACATAAAAGTATTATTTTTTGTTGTCGATTTTAATCGAACTAATATACCCCTTCCATCGTTGCGTGCGCGTTTGTGTGTAAAACGTGGAATAAATAATAAAATATTGGTTACTATTACTGCTATATAGAATATTATGATTGTGTATAGATTTTGATAATGATTATTAAAAGTGGTCGTTGTCAAGGCGAACTGTAATAACCACAATTGGTGACGGCCGGTGCGGTAATTGAGGCCCCATAAATGGAAGGGCGACGATGACAATGCGAAAAGAGCGCGTTTTAACTGGTCTGCACGGCTGGCACGACGCGACTTGGTTTTGTGTTTGTTGGATGAGGGGGGGGGGGTTTCGCTGGACGTAACCGTCATCCTTGCGGCGGCGGTGCCGGCCCACGTCTTTCTACATCGCGTACCCAGAAACACGCACCGCTGCCCTCTCTCCGCCACGTTAGAGTTTCTCCGCCGCCGCCCCTGTCTAGCAGTACAGTATTCACTTTCGTGATCGGTGTTACGAGAGACCCGTGTGTGTGTCTGCGTATGTATGCCCGAGACGCGTTCACACCGGGACGCCACGCTTTGTGCCCCTTTACGTTCGCCTTCCTCGTGGAACCGCCAAATGGAATTCTCGCCTCCGGCCTTATATTTAATCGAATCACGACGATTTTCACGATTATATTATGTGTATATAATACGTGTAGATATTATAATAATAACAATAATAATATGCAATGTGTACGCTCGTGTCGTAAATCAAGTGCGCGCAACACCTTCCAGTTATATCCCAATTGTTCCCACTATCCTTCCCCCTACCTCGTTGAGTTCAATCGTACATCAGAATTTATTGGAAATTTAAACACCAGATTTTTACGCGTACTTTTATTTCTGTTTATCGTGAGGCTGTTTTACATTTACCAAATTGGTAAATATGTTAGGGATGTAATAATATTATTTTTAGGTACTCTCTTAATATAGTATTGTGTTTTACCATGATTTTATCATTATCATACATGGTTAATTTTGGATATTTGCAGGGAATCCCGTTTGTACCGTTTGATCAGTTTAAATTAAAAATATACATTCGAATTTTTCACACAGTCTTTTGATTGATGTTTTTCCATAATAATATAGGTATTGTTGATTGTTTGGTTTGATGTCAAACGAATAATATTGTTCCGTATTTTTCCCAATAGTTATTTACAATACAAGATCTGCGGTCCCCTCTATTCGCATAACATCTGTCAATAATATAACGGTGTACTTAAAATTACCCATATTGTGAACAAAATGACGATTTGCATTACAAAACGTATTTTTTCCCATACACGTTCGATAATTCATTGTTATTTTCTGCGATATTGTCCTTGAAATATCGGTAGGTAGTGGTGGGGGTAGTTGTAAAAAAAAAAAATACTACCTATTTGGTCATTTCAAACAATTAAATTTAAACATAGACAGTCATCATTACAATATTTTACTTAAAATGTAATACTTGGCGAATACCGTGAAATTATAGTACGTTTGGAAATTCAACGATAAACATTGCTCGTGTTTGGTATAGGTATCGAAGAAACAATTTTTTTTTCCGTACGCTGACAAAGCTAAAATCACGACATCGATTTCTTCTTCGGTAAGAGTTGTGTGGGCACGCTATTAAAAATTTCATTGCTCAGAGCGCTGGTAATATGAACCTGTTTAGTATTATAACCTGAGCTCGCGCACAAATATAATAATAATAATATACTCGCACGCACTCGCACACAAACACGCTTATTATACTTACGTGTACATACATAGGCACACGCTTATAATATGCACACGCGCACTCACATTCAGAGGAGACCAACGCTGTCAGTCGGGCATAACGAGGCCGGTCGCATTGCACGACTATCATATTATAGTCGTTTCGGTAAGCGGCGGCGTTGGCTGTTACTATATAGTCGCGCGCGCGGCGGGACGACGACGTGCGGTACAACAAATCGGTAATTTAATGAAACAACGGAGGTTGGCGTGGCACATGCATCGTGTACGTTCCGCAATTGGTTGCAGCGGCGGCACTCGGCAGTCGTTCGACAATGCTCCCGGAGTTCAAACATTACAAATATTATGGTGGAAAATGCGCGCGCGCTTGGGAGCAGCTGCTATCATCGTCGCACTCCCGCCGCCGGTGTACGCTTAAACAGTTAATCGTATTTGCCAGCTGCTACGATATATTATGACTATAATAATATACTCGTATAATATTATTATTATTATTATTATTTGTGTCATCGATTATAAATCGTTAAAAATAAAACTATTTTTACTAAACGTTCGCTTTTATTGAAAATTACTAATTCTAATTAATGTAATTAATGTAACTCTGAACGGATCTGTAATACATTGTACTATAATTATTCGTCGCCATGTGCTCGCACATTAGATAATAATATTATGTTCGAATAATCTCTGTTATAGTGTCTTGTACATTTTTTGAAATCATTATTTATATAATTGCACACTTTTGAATTCACAGTATATTTCGACTCTAACATTTTCGAATGGATTTTTTTTTCTTATATCATTTATTCATTTATCAACTTAATTAATATTTTAATATTACTTAGTGTTTACACATTTTGTAATGATAATTTGATGTTAAAATTTATTATCATTATAAGACGCGTTTCGATTTTATTTGAATTGTTATGGTAAAGTAATGTAACATTTCTGTTAATTATTATTAAGTTAAAACTGAATAATAGTTTCTGACTTAACAAGATTTATTATTATTTTTAATTCTATAAACTGTAGTTACATCATTATTATAAGGTAAATCTTAATTATCAGTTTAAAATTCTCTGTGGTTGGATTATTAATGTTGAAATGTTTGTTATTTGAATATTGGTGCATTTAAGGTGGTTGACTTTTATTTTATATTGTACATTTTTTTTAATTCTTAGTCTTGCTAAGATTTGTGTGTGTCTTTTTTTTTTTTCAGAAAACCTTTTTTGTGTTTAGATTTGTTTTCACTCACCCCCTTTAGAAGATGCCGAATTTTCATCTGTTAATACTTTTTTATATCTTTTGATAGTATTACTTATTTAATTTGAAAATGTTACATCCTTCTAAACTGTGAATAATATACTTATATGATTTTAAATTTTATATTGTGGTTTGAGAAAGAAAATAAGATTCTTTTCTTTAATTTAATGGGGTACTTTTAATATTTGGTTTTTATCTTTAATATTGATTAGGTAAAATTTAGTCATTTTGTTAGAATATTACTAAGAAAGTGGGTAGGTATAGCACACATTAGGTAGTAATATATCTTATTCTTATATCAAATCATTTAAGTACCTAATGCATATTTGATAAAATGAAATATCTTTTCATTAAAAGCAGTAGGATTGTCAATTAACACTTGATCTTTTACTATTGTTGGTTTAATCAGGAAAAAAGTAAGTTTTCCTTGGTTTTTAGTACATTCCATACTCAATAAGTATCCTATAAATTTGTATCTTTTAAGTTAGTGAAATAAATATCTTAAGCTATGTATCATATACCTATATGACATAATAATGTCAATATAGACATAGTATTATTTTTCATTTCCATACACTGGAAATCAATTTATAAGATTATAATATATGCATCTTAAATTAAACAAATTTTGATTGGTTATCAGTGTTATTGTTTGTACGTTTTGTGTTTAAACATTATAAGATTATAATAACGCACTAAAAATTAAATGGATAGTTTGAAGTCATTATATTTTTATTATGAAACTGGGTATTATTATATACAAAAAATATACAAAAAGATAAAAAAAAACATTTATTATATTAAACGCACAATTAAATGAAATTGTCATACACTTAATAAACAGAAGAGAAACTATGATTAATTTTTAGTGCGTTTAATATATTTTTTTAAATGTTTTTTTTTAAATTTTTGTGTATTTTTTTTTAGGAATTGGTTGCAAAATGTTGACGTTATCCTTAAGAAAAAGAATCAAATCTAAGCGAATTCCAACAGCAAAAATTGATGAATTATTAGAAGAAATTGGATTAATAAGACATGTAGTACCTAGAGATGGTAATAGTTTGTTCAGATGCATTTCTCAATGTGTATTTTTCACTCAAAGTTGTTACTTGGCTGTTAGACAACATCTCTTACAGTTCTCTACGTTACAAACTGAAGAATTTAGTAAAATGACTGAGATATCTGTCAATAGTTATGAAAAGAAAATAACTGATAGAAAGTTGGATGGGGAATTATTGGATATGCATATCGCTGCTAAATTTTACAAAATTAATATTGTGTTTTATGTAGATGCACTTCCTTTTGTACCTCTTATTATTACAACTCCAGATGCAGTAAAAACTTTGAATGTGTGTCTGAATTATGAAGGCACATATGATTTAGTACTTGCGAAAGAAGTAGTTGTAAATATTTCATTTTGTCAAACTATTATGTATAAAATGTTATATCATGATGTTTTTAAACTATCTGGCGTAGATTTTGCTGTGAAAAAGATGTTATTTGACAGATCTTTACAATCTACTAAATCAAATGACCAGGAAAGTTTGGAAAAAAGAGCTACTTGTACAGACATGAAAGAACTGCTGGAAAATGGTATTATTCCATTTCCGTTTAAAGTGGCTAAAGCTTTGACACCTAATTTGTATAGAAATACAGAGTATGACATTTGGATGAATAACAAAAAAGACAAATTTCTTGGTAGGTGTAATAATTGGGAATTTAAAGAAGGAAGCCAGTGTATGGTTTTAATTGGAAGTCAATGGTGTCATTGTTATATTCAACGTATTCGTGGAAAAAATGAACCTGTAGAAGTGTATGTTAGAGATTTGGCAAAAAAAATTGATGTGGACTTTAAACAGTTAAGGTTAACAATGGTTGAATATGATGCAAGAGAAACAATAAATAGTCATGTACAAGTTGACCAAGTGTCTTCATCTACAGATATTCAACTTCCTGAACAATATCAAAATCCTATTCAATATAACAGTTCAAGTTTTATACAAAGACAAGCAATTCATGGAGGAGTTTTTCCTGGGCCTTTATTTTCTCCCCTTAGTTATATTCACCATCCGTATCAATATCTTCATGCTGTAATCCCTCCAAATTTAGTAAACAACGGAAATCTAATGTGCCCTTTGTATTTATCTGCAACACCTCCACCAATATTATCAAATGATTTTTGCCCACCGACAGTTAATGCATCACCTGGACTGCCATCAATGTCTCAATGTTGGTACTGTTCTAACAATCCCACCAGTACACCTTGCAGCTGTGAGGAATACAACAATGATGAAGAAAGTGGTGTGACCATGGATTCTAATCATGCGTATCAACCTTGGCTAATTCCAGAGTTCAATGAGCCTGCTGATGAATTGCAGCAGTAAATAACAAAAAAAAAAAATACATGTATAAAGACTGCCTAATATAATGTAACAAAGACTGAAAATGATTCTTTATGTGATACAAAATTGGGTAACTAATATAAAATTAGATTTTCTTTAAAAGTTGAAGATGATATTTAAAATTTGTTATAAAAAGTAAATTTTTTAGTTATACATTTTTAGTTTATTTATATATTCCTGCTCACAATTTTTTAATTAATTAAAACTGTTGTGATTTTAAAAATGTTTATTTGTACACCCGTATATGGGTCAATATTAAGCGTTTAAAGTTTATTTTGTTTATTTTGTTTTGTTAATTTGACTTATTTTAAATTCTGATTTATTCATTAATGAATAGATAACCTGTTAAAGTAAATAAAGGAGTAATTTTATTAAGTTTTTTTTTTCCATTTCTTTGTGTTATAATGATCATTAGGTTCTATTTATATTATATAGAACACTTTTTTAAAGATTTTATCATAGAAAACATTTGATATAGTAAGGTGCTTTATTCTATGAAAATTGAACAAATAAGCAAAACAAAAGTCATACTTAATTTGTATACTCTTGAAAAAGGTATTGATTAAACTTATAATATGAGTCAATAAAAGCAATAATATTGCATAATATTGTTGTCTTTGTTGTGTGCTTTAGTTCCGTGGCTCCCCTAATCTGGGCTTGCTACTATAGTAATGGTACACAGTTATTATACTATTAATTAATTTGGTTGTCATGGGCAACACCATATTCTGTATTGCTAGTATTTTAAAGTCATGTTTCTGGTCTCTACTGACATTGGTTATATTATTTGTTAGATTTTTTCCCCCCATAATTTACATAATACGTCATGGTATATAAGGTCATGGTTTTAGAATTGATAAACATGTTAATCTCATATAATAGTTTATATTGAATCCTAGAACAGGTTAGTTGTATCAAACTATAAATTATAAAGATAAAACCCTGTTTAACAGATAATAAATGGTAAATAAATTAAGATTGTCAACGGACGATTTGCAATATTTCACTTTTGAGAACGTGTCCCTTTTGTAGCTGTCATTTCCCACAGTCAAATGTTTGGTGAAAGCATAAGTAAGACGCATTTTCTCGCGAAAAACCGGCCTTGTTTTATTTTAACTAACGAATACACACACAGAATAGTAACTCAACAATATGACTGCACATAATAATATAATATTATGACGATAGAAATCGGAATACATAATGATCGGGTGGTTCGATAACAAGGAGTGGAAAGGTCTCGGCGCGCCTCTTGACCCTAAACCAGAGAGAAGATGAGAAAGAAAGAAATAATATAAACCGGTTGTGCATGCCGATATAAATTTTGAATATGTTGGACCACGGCTCCATTGTTGCTAGCATTTTTTCCTAATATCGCCATGTTATATTATTTAACGATAACCATGTTGACTGCTAATTTTACTAACAAAAATATTTAAAATCAAAAAACCTGAATGAGTAAAAAGCGAACAAGTTAGTTAGAAATACTGTGATGTTTTACAAGCCTATAATTTAATATGATTATTAAACTGAAATATTGTAACAATAAATCAAATTTACAGATAACAGAAATCGTATTGCATATATTTTCCAGATTTTTCCCAACTATAAATAAATCAAAAAGACCTCCATGTGCATTAGCTATATAAAATTTACTATCAGAAACCACCATTAAAGTTAACTTTTGTAGCAAGACATTTGATAGAAAAGTGGTTTACAGACTCAGTACACACTGTAGTAATACCAGTAGGTATTTATTAAGTCGTTACGATTGACGTTGTTGGCTGGCGAGAGCGAAAATTAAGTGAAATGTATTTATAATAAATGAGCTAACTGCTATAATATTATGTATACATTTCAAAAAGGCTATTAAAATATTTTATCAGTATGCAAACGTTATAAAAATAAAATAAATAGCGACGTTGAAGAAATAATTATGATGTAAACAACAATTTTGTGTGTGAGTTTAAGTGTTCATTTATAATTATTATAAAATGTATTTGTGTCTAGTGTAAACGTTGTCTAATTCGATACATGACGATTCTGCGTGACCCCTCTCCCGCGCTTGTTCTTCGATAGCTTATAGACTCTGAAGTAAAATGTCGTTACAGTGGCAATACTGTCGAATAAACACCAATACTCGCCACTACTTATTACTGTGAGTAATTCCTCCCTCCCCCTTATTTCTTTCTTATACATTCGATATTCGTTTTTTTGTTTATTATCTTGTTATAACGGTTTACATTGGTTCTATCGAAAATTCGGTTAATAAAAGAGGGCCCCTCTTTTGGCATAAAAAAAAAAAAATCGATTTCCGCTTTCCAGCATTAATTTTTATTTTTGTAAAATAATCCGTCGGAATAATTATTATAATCGCTGAGTGAATGTTTATTAAACAACTTGTTAACGTATGCTATTTTAAGACTTAAGTACCTATTACTATTTTTGTTGTAGATTTTGACATAATTTCTTGAATTTAGTAGACTGCTTCAATGTCAATGAAATTAATTTGGTACTCGAATCATGAAATATTGTTTTTTGTGCGCCTAACTGCCTAATAACATAAACACGATCAACGCATTTCAAATTGAAATCGGTACTTAATATATTGCAACTAATATTAGAAATCATATCCAGTCAAATAAAAGGTGTAAACATTTTTTCTCCATCACAGATTATTATACGAGTGCGCGTATTGTAGCCATTCCGAAATACGTCTGTAGTATTATTATTAGACAATTTATTCGAAAAGTGTAATTTCAGAATTTTTATTTGATTTAAATAATATAGGTACTACTAACAACGTAAGTACAGTTATTATTTTTAACCCGCTAGACAGAATGCTCGTGGCGTTTCTCCTGTTCTTAGGTTGCATAATTGCATATTAATTATTTGTATCGTTCATGTATTCGTTTTCGTAATTGCTGGTACGTACACGAACGTGCTTAAACTGCTATTTTATTCTTTTCGTGTCGTGAAGAGCAATTATGTACGTATTTATTAGTTTATTACTATTTAATATCTACTCGGAGTTATTGTTATTGGGATAGTAATATTATATTTTAATAATATTTTTATCGGTTATTTAATTTTATCTATTGGCTAGGTTAGGTATAATATGTTTTTCTTAGTTGACAATCGTCACTACTTTGATAGTAAATGTAGCTTTATAAACTTAGTAAACCAAACACGAAGATACTTTTATTATAATGAATATTGAATTGAATTTTTACCATTATTGATATCAGTTTTTATGTATTTGAACGAGGAACATAATAAATCGCGGTGTGCTTAATCATATCCTTGTATTATTGTTTTACCTGTAGGTATAATATTTTACTTATTGATATTTATGTGATTCCGTGTCCAATCTTGTTTTAGCACAATATAGATAGATTATACACTTTTGTATACCTAACAATTTAGTAAATTCTACTAAATTGGTATTTTACATTTTTATCTATTTTTTGCCTCATGCAGCATTGTAAAAATGCTTTGGATTATCATTAACGCGTGTGTACTCAAGACACTTCGTTAGGAAAGAGTCTAATAATTATCGTGTTCTGTGTTTAATATTATAAAATTATGTTAAAAGAACGTGATACCCGCATGTGTTGACTTCTTACAAAAACGTACCGCATAGCAAATACGTTTTCCAGAGACAACTCTGGGTTGTTAGTTTTAATACTAGAGTGAATTGACCTATTATCAAACTTAAAGATAATAATATTATCTATGTAACACTAACCTTATGTTTTTGATATTTTAATTTTCCAGTAAGATATAATCATTATTTCATATAAAATTAAATATCGAAAAAATAACGCTAACCTTAATAATGTCGTTATGTTCTCTAAGTTTGATAATCGGTCAATTCACTCTAATATTAAAATTAACAGCACTAAATCGTTCCTGCTGAATGTAAATTTGTTACAGTTTGCTAAGTTGCGACGTATTATACATTTGTAAGATAGAGACGGCACACGCGATTACGAATTATTAAATCAAATATTTTCAGTTTCGATGTTTATTTACTGTAAAATATATGAGTTTTAGAAATTATTTTGTAAATTTTCAGTTTTACATTATGCATTTTATAAAATTTAAGTAAGTATACTTATGTAATTTTAAACTTTCTGAACGAAAATTAAAAGTAAATTTTACATTATTTATTAAATATTTTTACCAGCGTTTAATGCCATGAATGCGTGTTTGTAAAAAAATACCAAAAGTAATCATAGTAAAACTTTTAAATTATTTTCAAAATAATTTGCCAATATTCTAATGTCAGACTGCTTGTCAGATTCAATTAAACGTTTTTTATTTTTATTTTTTTCTGTTTGCTGTGGGGTCGGGATGTAAGAATATCCTTTGTGTATCGGCAAAGCTTTTCCGTTTAGGCGGAAACGGCCTGTCTTGGTGACGGCGGCGGGCAACCGCAAAGGTATACAACAAACAACCAAAACAAAACTCATATTGATTTGCTCGGTCAGTTGCTCGGGGGGAGAAAACTCGGTGTGGTGGTGGGAGTACGTGCGATTTTTGGCTGTGAGTGGACTAACCGTTACCCAGCGGCTCATCGTAATAATAAACACTCCCTTTGAAACCAATACTACCGTCACCGCACATTGTTCGCCTTCGCCCTCAATCGTACACGGGTCGACGACGCTTGACAAGTTCCCTGGGATCGGCGGCCAAATGCTTAGTTGTGTATAGCACACACACTAGAAAATAACTTAAAATCAAAATTACTAACATTCGATTTCCGCTGGCCTCGTCAATATAAAACACTACGTAAACGAGTCAACGGTTTCCAATATTGTTAATCACTAGGGCTAGAGACTTCATGAACTCAAAATTATTGAAATAAGTATGCATTGTAGTAGTATTAAAACATGGAAAATATAGTATTATTAAAATATGCATTTACAATAAAAGTGTTTTTTTTTTCTATTTATTTTATACTGATCATTACACTGAACTAATGATTTTTGTTACCAGCAAAAATATGTATGTATTTTAAAAAGGAACGCCACTATCACACGTCTACGGAAGTTATTGGTGCAAACTTCTTATATTATATCGACACAATTTATATTATCTGCAGACAGCCCGTTTATAGATTTATTTTGCCTTTTTAAAATGTCTGATACTTTTTGTAGAAGATAAAATCTAACATTTTTCTCCTCTATATAGGTTTAGCTTGTGCTAAAAAAAAAAAAGATTTGTTTACATTGTTTCGTCAAATTTCACGAAATTATTTAGATGATCATAGACTTAGGTTTTGGTCTAGGAATTTTTATTATTAAATAAATGATTCGCGTTTTGAAAAAAAAAAAATATATATATATATATATATATACGAAATTACGAACAACGAGCAACTGAACCACACCAACTGTGTCAACTTATTTAAAATATTTACGGCCAGTACGGGTCGTGTATTTTGGTATCATTATTCCTACTAAAAAATTCTATTTAAAATCAATTTTTTTTTTTATAAAATATTATCAAAACGTTCACTAATAAATGAAAAAATGTCAAACATACTACAATAAATTTTAAATATAAGTTTGTATTACCATGAAACATTTGTTCATTACTTTGCTACATCTTCGACAGTTATAGAAACATGCTAACTCCTAGGAGAGCCCCTGTCCAACATTGAGTATTACTGTTAAAATAAATTCATAATTTTTGGGTATGTATGTTTTGTATCCTTGAATTAATCGTTGCCAAAACTAGGAAGGTGGGGGATTTATCCCCGGGCGTTAATTTGTCATGAGACGTCTATGTTTAGTAAACATATTTTACTGATGGATAATTTTTTAATTTAATTAATTTAATTTGTCAGTGTCTTAATAAGGACTAGGTAAGCATGTACATATTTCATTTTATTAATATTAGGGTCTTAAGGGGTTAGTGAGAATACCTCGTAGAGCGTATAGTATTTGTATTCTCGGGTGTAAAATTGCATAGTTCCCTGGCACTGCCCAATTAATATTTTGTAAATAACTTTTAAATTATTTTATGTAGTTTTAGATTATGAGCGGACAAAGACTATTGTGAGTAATTATGATTTATGTTTCATTTTCGCTGAAACGCGGCACGATTTAAAAGTTTAAACGTTTCATTCGGTTTTATACAGGGTGTTCCATGAAGATAAACCCGTTGTAATATCTCCGTAGATAATCAAATTATATTTTTTTTATATTAATCGAAGGGATAATGATTAAAAATATTTTTATTTGAATTAAATTGTTATGTTTTGGTGAAAAAAAGTTATTTTATTATTTTCGAAAAATTTGAAGAAAGCCATTTCATAGAGTTTATTCTTCTGAAAATTTTGACGTACCTATTAACTTTTTATTAAAATGTTTAGTTAAAAGTGTGCTGCCATTTAGCCACAGTAATAATAAGCAATTTATGAATGTGATAACTGTCTGCTACATAATTATAAATACTTTTTTCTGAATTTTAAAAAATTCTTAAAAATTGCGTATTTAATGAAAATAAAAAGTTGAAACGTCAACATTTTCAAAATAATGAACTCTATGAAATGGCTATCTTCAATTTTTTTAAAAAATAAGAAAATAATTTTCTAGTACTTATTACCAAGACAAATATTTAGTAAAAATAAAATAGAAAAAAATGATTTTTTTTTTATTATTATTATTATCTCGGGAGATATTACAATGGGTATGTCTTCGTGAGACACTCTGTATAATTGATGTTCTAGGTTGTTGGTTTTTCAGTTCAATACTCGAAAAAGGAATACAAATTAAAAAGTTCTTTAATAATATTATACAACAGTTGAATTTTAATACGATAATACCTATTCTAGATTAGTAGTATTGTTTTTAAATGTATACTATTATAATTATCGTGATCGAATTAAAAATATGCTGAGGAAATGAAACAGGACGAGTGCCATATTATGGGCGACGATAAAATATATATCATATTTTTAAAATAACTATAATTGATTAAATTAAATTCATTGTTTGTATTGATTATTTGTGTACAATAATATTAATATCTCGATTAATATTATTAATAGTTAAAACTAATAATTCATTTTAATTATAGCTCTATCATTTTAATTAGTTTGAACTTTTGAAGGAATGAAATATAAACTATTAGAATATGTTGTTTGGAAATTAAAAACCTATGTTTATATTTTGTTTGTTAATTTAATTTCATAGACGATTCCGATGTTTCTGATCCGATCCGTTTCAGTTGAAATTGTTTTAACAAACGCGTACATTTATTTTGGTATCTAAACATTGTTCGTAAAATATAAATATAGTTATGGCAAGAATCCATGAAATGCGTTCGTGATGCTAGAAATTGCAACTATATTTTAATTGGTATTAGTATAGTAAACCAGCTGCCGTGTGTTATCAGTAACGCCTAGCTGTAACTCAATAAATCATAATCTAACAAGTGTTCTATTTTTTTATGAATTGGCTTAAATACCTAATTATTATTATATAATTTATATCGTTTTTTTATCCTAAAAATAATAGAAGCATAAATACCATGTTTTATTTATGTTAAAATAATATTATCTGTTTGTTGTCTTCTTTACCTTTATCCCCAGGCTATTCTTATTTTGGCCCTTCACATCTTTCCCTTTGTCGGTATTTTTCCATCTACTCCATATTACCCTACTTACTATCTCTCCCCTCTTAACTTTTAAACTTTTATAAAATTACTTGTTATCTATATAGGTAATAGGAATGTGAATTTAATACACTATAAAACCTTAAAATCCCTATAATTGCTAAAATACTGTACGACAACTCCTAAATAACCTAATCATTTTACAGCAAGTTATACCAGCTATTTTGCTTACTCTGAAAATTCACTACTGATATTACTAATGTATAATATTGCATTATGTTGCAATTAATGGTCACTATTAACCTTATCTTATCAATTTTGATATTAAAGCAAATTGACATTACCAAAATTAAAGGTAAGATTATAAAATGTGTCCTAGCATTGATGTTTTTTTCGGTTTTTTTATTTTTAAGCTAGATATGAGTATGTGAAATATCGTAATTTAAAAGTTAGAATATCGAAAAAACATCTACGTTAGCCGCCAAGGCACATATAATATTTATACCTTTAAATTTGGTAATAAGTCAATTTGCTTTAATATCAAAACTAACTGCATACAATTTGCCCTATTCTACTCAAATTTGCTATGTCGGCGTTTGTAAAACGGAAATATAGGTAATGATGATAAGTTATGATTATGATTTGTGTTTTTTTTTTATGTACGTATTGTTGTGTTGTGCTCAAACTAATAGGAAGTTTTTTCTATTGTTTAATATTGGCTAATATAATATATAGTAACATTTATTGTTTTAAAAAAAAAAATTAGTTTGATCCAGTGTTGTTTATTATGAATAATTATGTTAATTCACTTCTACATTGCATATAAAACAAAATTATTTTTATTTTGTTTTCTACTCGAATTCATTCAAAATTAGAGACTATTGCACTGTATTGTGTCCGGGGGGGAAAAAGCGAAATAGCGTATTATAATGATATCGAATAATTTATATTAAAAAGATTAAATGACTCCCTACCAGAATTCCTAAATTCTTATTCCCAGCTGAGTACGTCACCCCCGTAATATGTATTTACTCTAGGCTCTAGAGTATGTTTATAAATATTATTTTTACATATCCAATTTTATAGTCTGTGTGAAATATGTGATATCGTCACATTAAACTAGTATTATAGTACCTTATTTATTTATTATTCAAATTATTGGAATAGACTACATTTGCACGTTAAATCAATTCGATGAATTTTGTCTTGTTCGTATGATTATTTTCTTGATTCAAAATTTAAATGTATTTTGAATTTGATAATGTATAACTATATATAAATAATACATATATAAAAATGGTATTTAACATTAGATATTATATTGAACTAATATTTTATTGTACAATATGTAAAACTATTAGGATATGTATGATCATAAAAAATAAAGAATTACATTTTTAGCGTTAATATGAAGTAATTTCGGCGACTTACATTATTATTAAAACATTGTTTTATTAAACAGAGATATTATTACAATTATAAAATAGTAAAATACTTCATAATTTTGTTTTGTACTATTCTTGATACGAGAACTATTAAATCAGATTTAATTTTTGTGTTAGGTGAATTATAAGTCTGATGATTTTGTCTCGTTTGTTGGTTGAAAACAAAATTGTAATCGAAGCATACATTTTAACAATATCGGTGAATAAATAATAATTAGTTGCAGTAATAAAATATAAATATAGTATACTTTGATAATACAGTGATCGTCATTTCAAGTTTATGTATTCATTAGTAATGAACGATCTGTAAAAAGATAAACATTTTATAAAACAAGTTATAAATGTTTCTGGATATCGAAATCTCAAAAAATATCCAACAACCTTGATTTTTGAGTAGGCGCCTAATAATAACCGACTATAATTAAATATATGCAATACTTGATAGTAGTATACAGTTTCTCATTCGATTTGTATTTACAATAGCTAAACGCGAGTTTCGTGTAGAATTGCCAACATTTCGTCGTTTTTTATAATGATTATTGAAATATGATTTTTATCACTTAAATTCGTACAGAGTACATACTATCAAACTAAATATCTAAACATATATTTATTATTGTAAACGTTTGCTAAAATTGTTTTATTTTTTTGTGTGGTTCAATTTATGATGAATTTTAGTCTCGTTCGTATGATAATAAATAGTGATTATAATGCATATTTTATATTCTGAACTTGATCCACTTATTTTATAATATAGAACATGAATAATAATGTTAAATTTGTATATTATTTAATTATTTTAAAATGTGCCCGATTGCATAATGTAAATTCTGACTGTTAGAAACGCTCGCTAATGAATTTATTCGTAGTTTTTTTTATTGAAATATTACAATGCTTCGTTTATTTTATGCATTAGATTATTATTACCTAGTACACGTATAAGTATTATTTCTGGTACTAGAAAAATCGGTATAATTAATTAACTTATTATATGAAAAAAAAATTGGGAAAAGTTAGTGTTTTTTATTGAACAATGTATTGATATGTATATAATAAAAAAAGACAATAGGTTCGACTGGTTGCTATCTAAACATGATGAATTAGTATTATGAGATTCCTTCATATCGGTGGGGAAAAAAAAAATTAGTCATAGTAAATAATCATAAATTTGATATATTAACCTACTTGTAGGATATGAAAAAAAAAAAAACTGTCGCGGTTTAACTTGTACATTCGATCGTCATTACATTACTCATTAAATTTCGTTACGATGATAATAATATCATTGTGCAACATATTCGAATGAAATATTCCAAAATCCGGTATAAAACTGTTGTTATTTTAGCGTAGGCACGTAATAATATAATATTATGATACACCGCGTATTATAATATTCGGATGACTGGGTGTTTGTTTGTTTTTCTTTTTCCCCGCGAACACGAGTGTTTTGTCGGACGGAAATAATTAAATTAATAAGCGATTCTTCGATGATACACGATAAAAAGACGATGATTGCGGTTAAATGCGGGAAACGTTGACAACAGTCATTAACGCGGGCAGCCCCGTATTCCGCGGTGTAGCAGCCGCCCGTCGAAAAAGCACGTTACGGCCGGTCTGAGCCGGCCGGCTGGGGGAGACGCACGCGGGCTCGTCGTCGTTATTATTATTGCCGTCGTCGTCTGGTCGTCATCGCGCGCGCGGGAAAGTCCGCCGTCCCGGTGTTTCGTTTTGCGATTCGGAGCGGAACCTTTCCCCCGGTCGCGCCTCGTGTCGTGCAGCAGTAGCGCCGGTAGTTGTTGTAGTAGTAGTAGTAGTAGTAGTGGGTTAGAGAGAGCATCGGTGCTATATTCGGGAAAAATCGATGGCGCTATTACCGGCCGTTCCTCGTCGCCCGTCGTCGTCTCCTTCTCGTTCTCACCCTCCGTCATCGTTGTCGACGACGATGCCGCGACACCGCCGCCGCCACCCGTTC